GAATCTTCCACCCACATCCGTGCACGAGCTCAGGGACGTACTGAATCTTCCACCCACATCTGTGCACGAGCTCAGGGACGTACTGAATCTTCCACTGCTGTATTTACAAGGGCTCTGTTTCCAGACCAACCTTGACTGATATAAGAGGTGACTTTTTAGAAGAGGTCTATATCCTTGTATCAGTTTAAACTCAGGTATTTTTGGAAGAAAATACATTTTAATCTCCTCTGACTAAAAACCGTCAGAAACAGCAGCTTTGTTTAATGCTTTTATTGTTTTAACACAGATATACTATTGCCAGGTAATCTTTCTGATTTCCAAAACATGGACCAAGAACTGCAACTTCACTAAAAATCTTAAATATACAAAACTGAAGTTTTACCAAAATTAGATATTTTCCCTCGTGGAAAAAAGAAAATCAGAAAACACCACATGGTTTTAAGAAAACCACAGTTTTCCCTTGTGGTAAACTGGAAGTCCGGTCTCTCCCATACTCCAGGTTTAAATCTCCATAACAGGATAGAATATACAAGGACATTCCGTAAACTTACATGTAGGATTAGCTACTTATATTTACCTTAACAAATTTAAGCAAAATGCAACTCTTTTTCCAAATAAAGTCTTCTGTCAGAAAAATTTTTCCCAAAATATTTAACGTAGTGATTTTCTGTTTCTGGCAAAGAACCCTTCCCACCTGAACAGAAACAGCACTCTCCAATGACCACCCAAAGCCAACGGGAAGCGGGATGGAGAAGAGCTCTGGGACACAGACACAGTGGGCACAGCCTGCAGTGTTCCGACCCAGACAAAGTCAGCCTGCCGTGGAGCCTCAATCCGCCTCTCGTGGCTCCTTCAGGACAGACCGGGACGCACTTGGCGGCACATTCAGGCACTGAGCACGATCAGTTTGTGAAGCTGGTAGAGGAAGGTGTTCTTCCCTCTGCTGCTCTCCCGGTCAGCCTGCTCCATGACCAGCTTTGGGTCAACCTAATTGGGCAGAGAGAAGGACCAATGAGGATCTACGACAGGGCTTTTCTAGACATTAAATAAAATCACACACACGCACACACATATAAGATAGCAGAAAGTACTTTTAAGTTTTCCAAAAATATTTACAGAACACTTCTCTAGTCTCACATTTTACACTATTTTTAAATTCATGTTTAATAATATAGCAACCTTTACTAAGAAACTCCCATTTATTCCCTATATAAACGTGAACAGTAACATCATTATAGTTAAAACATGTAAGTTTCTAAAATATACCAACCTGGAAATGAAATTCTGCTTTCAAACTAAGCCCTGCTACAATACCAACTTCAAAGGCCCCTGACGGATGGGACAGTCACCGTGGCTGGTGCCACCTCCCTCTGTGCGTACAATGGAGCTGGCTCCAGTGTACCAGCCCTGAGGGCGCCAAGAAGGGAACCCAGGGGACGGGCACAGGGAAATGCCACTTGACTCGCAGTGGAGGTGGCCTTTAGACGCAGGAAGGAAAAACAACATCCAGAAGCACAATCTCGCTTAAATTGCCGAAGTGATGGGGAGCGACTGCCCCAGCTGGCTTGCTTGTAAAGGCGTGCCTGGCTCTAGAACTAAAGCTTCGAATTCCTCCCAATTTCCTTTCCCTGAAGTCACACTTTATTCAATTTTCAGAGCCTTACAGATAAGAAATGTCGAGGAGCCTAACATGGCCCTGCCCTATTTCACAAGGGGTCTAGGTTCCCCGCATGTCCCCATGGTGAGTCCCTGACCCCCATGTGATGGTATTTGGAGGTGGGGGCCTTGGGAGGTGATTAGGGGTAGGTGAGGTCACAAGAGTGGGCTTCCATGATGGGATTAGCGCCTGTGCAAGAACAGACACCAGAGAGCTTGGGCTCTCCCTGTGCCATGTGAGGACACAGAGAAGCTGGCCGTTTGCAAGCCCTCACCAAAACCAACCACGCTGGCGCCCTGCTCCCGGACGTCCCGCTTCCAGAACTGAGAGAGACTAAAGTCCGTTGTTCATAAGCCACCCAGTCACCACTGTGGCACTTTGTTCCACAGCCTGAGCAGACCAAGACAACAAGCAATGCCACCTAAAAGCGGGTAAGCCATCCAGGTGACAGGAATGGCCACGGAGTGTTTCACATAGACCCCTACGAGCTCAAGGGTCCAACGCAGACCCTCCTACCCATTTTCTGCCAACTCACAGGGCAATCAGGCTGGTTTCTGACTTCTGCCAAGGCATTACACAGAAGATAACGCCCAGAAACAGCCCCTCTGGTCTGCGGCATCCGCCCGTTCACCACCAGAACCGCCCACCTCACTCCTGCCTGCTCTCTCCCGCCCGCCGCCCACCCAGGGCCCCAGCCCTCCCTCCCCCACGTGGCCGGCTGTTCCCAGGGCGGCCTGCTTCCTGCTTACCTGATTCCACTCGTAGGGCTTTTCATGCCACTTAGGAACAATCTTCTCTCTTGGTTTTGACTGACAAAACAAACTAAAATTTTTGAAAAAAATTAAGTTAATTATATATCAGTAAAACACTGCTGTGGGTTTTTTAAAAAATATTTAAACCCTATATATTTCTCTCAGAATTAGAACTATGATAAATTTTTAAAAGGTCAAAGCTTACACAGGTTATCATCAGAAAATAATTTTAATCTACTGCACATTCAAACGCAGAAAGCAATGGGACGCGGCAGGTAAGGCCAGCCCCGCCCTCTGTTCCCTAGCAACCAGTCGAGGTTGCTCCAGGACCGCAGGTCACCCCGTCACTGAGTCAAGTTCTGTGAAATGTAACAGGACGCTTCACATCCTCGCTCTTGAGTGGCCACGACAAGTTGGAAATATCAACAGCTGAAAAGGTAAAGAGACGGAATCCTAGCAATGAGGAGTAAAGAGCTCTGCAAAGCCTCCCTCCCAAAAACCTATAAAACAAGACAAAAAAAAAAACATTTGAAGCTCTGGAAATTGACCAAAGGCAAACAACAAGCTGAGAAGCATTCATTCAAGGAAAACTGCCAAACTCCAGGTGGGAACAGCGGGGCCTGCGGAGTCCTTGCCCAGAGCTGCTCCCACGCCCCAAGCACCTGCCAGCTCAATCTGGTGCCGTCGTGCTGCCAGGACCAGGCCCGCCTTGAAAACCTGCAGCGTTGCTGCCAGAGGAGCTCTGATTTGGAGCAGAGGGTGAAAGAGCCTCACGCCTCCAGCACGTCAGTAAAAACAGCAACTGCAGGAGGTGGATGAGAAAGCCTGTGGCTCGGCCAGCCCCAGTCACGATGCCACCTGGGGCCAGCAGCACAGCAACAAACTGTCCCGACACTGAAGAGAGAGCTCTTGGAAACGAGAGTGCCACAGCTAGCCAGCGGGCTCTCCACATGTCGCTGGCCAACTAGGAGGGCGCACACACGCCCAAGAAAGGCCTGAGGCCCTGGGAAATACAAGCCGGGAAGAGTTAAAAAGTGCCTGAACTTTAAATGCACCCCCCAGCCCACACGCAGATCCACTGGTGAGGGCAGACGCCTTACAAGCTTAGGTTTTTAAGCACAACTTCTGGCCAGCGCTGACTGAGTGCTAAGCAGTGCAGACACAAGCTAGGCTAAAAAATAAAAATGAGAATAAAAATAAAACAAATCCAAAACACAGAACCCAGGTATCAGTGACCTCACAAATGGGGGAGGGGGGCAGACTTACAGATTAAGTCCAGGCAAGTTTCTAAAGTTAAACAAAACCAACAATAAAAAGCAAAGGCTCATTTTCAACAAAAACAGGAGACATGCAAAGACACAGGAATGTGTGACCCACACTCAGGAGGCAAAGGGCAGGCAACACAAGCAGACTGAGCGGGCCCACACGTGGGGTCAGCACACACAGACCTCAACGCGGCCACTGTAAAGAGGTTCAGAGAAATAAAGCAAACCATGTTCAAAGAATTAAGGGAAAACATGATCACAATAACTCAAAGATAATCTCAATAAAAATTAAAAGCTATACAAAAGAACCAAATAGAAATTCTGGAGTTGAAAAGTACAGTAACTGAAATGGAAAATTTCCTGCAGATCAACATCTGCAAGCGTCCAGGATCACAGGATAATCAGCAAACTTACAGACGGATCAACAGAAATTAACTGATCTGAAGAAAAAAGAGGAAAAAGACTGAAAAATGACCAGAGCCTCAGAGACCAGTGGGACAACACGCATTATCGACACGTTTAATGTTAGTGCACTAAGGTGTGTAATATATGCACACGTGTGGTCTATGCACAAATACATGTGCAATGTATGCATGCTAACATATGTGTGATGTAGTGTTTTCCGAAAGGAGAGGAGAACAGGCATAGGGCAGAAAAAAATACTCGAAAAAATTCAAAAATGCAAATAGCTTGTAAGTGAAAGGAAAGAAAAAGATGCCAGTAACTAAAGAGAGCCGGAGTGGCTACATCAGTATCACACGAACAAACCTAAAACAAGGAATATTATCAGAGATAAAGAAGGTATTTCATAATCATGGTAATGATCCTGTATGCAGGAAATCCTAAAGAATCTTCAAAACACTAGAACCAGTATACAGGTTTGACAAGGTCACAGCATAAAACGCCAATACATATTAATAAAAAGCAATTGTTCATTTCTAGAAATAAGTAATTCAAAAATTAAGAAAATAATTTCATTCACAATAGCATTAAAAGGACTAAAATATTTAGAAATAATCTGACACAAGTACAAGACTACTATACGGTGTTAAGAGGAATTACAGAGTGTCCAAGTGAACACCAGGCACGAGCGGACGCGATGCTGCTAAGACGGCCGGTCTCCCCAAGGTCATCTACAGATTCAAGGCAATGCCTATCACGATTCCAGCAAGGCTCTTCACACAAATTGACAAGCTGATCCTCAAAGTTATATGAAAGGAAAAGGATGTAGAATAGTAAAACCAATTTTGAAAAAGAACAAAACAGGACGACGAACACTACCTAATTTCAAGACTGACTATAAAGCTGTAGCAGTCACGACAGTACAGTATTGGTGAAATTGTGCCCCAAAGGGTTAAATAAACTGGTGACTAACAGGAATTCTTGAGCTGGTCTTAGAGGATGGCAGATAAGGAAAAAACAGCTTGTTGGAATTCTCTCTGCTTACAAGATAACAAATCTGGTTGAAATTGTTTGGAAACAATGTGGCTGACTAGAGTCTGCACAGAACAAGCTTGCTGATGTCGCAGCCCCAATTTCCACCACATTTCATACTAACTCCCCCTGAACTTGCACACGCAGCCCACGAAGCAGCATGAAAAGACAACTGCACATACCCAGAGGACTTTCCAAACCTCCCCTTCCCTCTGCTGACTGACTCCAAACCCTTCCCCCAAAGACTCTCCCTTAAAGATACTGTCTTAAGGCTGGTATACATTGGAGCTGTCTCCTGTCTCCTTGCTTGGCCACCTTGCAATAAATCTACCCCCCTCTCCCCACTCCCCCCGCAAAAGTACAGTGCTTTGGTGTTTGGCTCTCCGTTGCCCCTGGGCAAACAAACCTGATTTGGTTCAGTAACACTGGTATAAAGACAGACATACACCAACAGAACAAAGCAGAAAGGCCAGAATGGATAAACCAGATGTGGCATATGCAAACAGTATACTATCATTTAGCAAAAAGAAACACATTACAACATGGATAAACCTCAAAAATACTAAGTGAAAAAAGCCAGATTAAAAGAAAACATGATTCTATGTATATAAAAATGTCAGAGAAGCCAAATCTACAGAGACAGAAAGAAGATCAGCGGTTGCCTGGGGCTGGAGGTGGGAACAGGAATTGTGTGCAAACGGGCAGGAGGAACTTAGGTTTTTAAAAACAGCTTTATTGAGGTATAGCTTACATACCATAAAATTCATCAATTTTAAGTACATAATTTAATAGTTTTAGTAAACTCATGGAGTTGTACAATACCACCGTCAACCACTGTCATCTTGTCTTAAAATATCTGTTGGGCAAGTGGCATCTGTCGGCTGTTGCCAGGAGCACAAGTCTGAGCGCCCCTGCCTGCTGCGTCTTGGTATCAGAGTCACCAAGGAGAACACGTGCAGTCGAGCACTGGCTGGAGGGAGGCTTTGCTCACACAGAGAAGGGACACAGCGAGACCAGCTTCCATGGTAGGCACTAGTCCCCATGGCCAGCAGGTCCTCCCCAACCAAGGCAGGCAGCAGGAGGACCCTGTCCCCTCCCCCGCAACAGTGGGGTTGGCCGGATGTCCTCTGACACACGTGCTTAAGCAAGACAAAGGAGGACACGCTGAGTCTGAACAGGGAATGGCCTTCCCACACATGGCAACACGCCCCACGCTGGCTACGCGACCCTTTATTTCATTGGAAGGACGCATTCCAGGCCCAATGTCCATGCTTAGATGTCAAGAGGGGATTGACAGGCTGCAGCATGAGACTGTCTTCCCTACAATGTTTATAAGTGAACTTTTTGGGATGATAGAAATGGTTTTGCTGATGGGTTGTACACTATAAATTCGCTAAAATCACTGAATTGTTAAAAAAAAAAAAAAAAACCTATTTATGGCCTAACAAGTCAGGATATCGTTACTCTTGTTTGGAGGGTAGAGAATCACAGTGGTGGCAAGCAGACAAGAAGGAGAATGCTTCTGACCCGGGTGCCGGTCACATGTGCGTATACCTGTGCACTTCATGTAGGTTAAACGTCAATGCAAACTTTTTTTTGAGACAGAGTCTCACTCTGTTGCCTGGAGTAGAGTGCCGTGGCGTCAGCCTAGCTCACAGCAACCTCAAACTCCTGGGCTTGAGCAATCCTACGGCCTCAGCCTCCCGAGTAGCTGGGACTACAGGACATGCGCCACCATGCCCGGCTAATTTTTTCTATATAGATTTTTAGTTGTCCAAATAATTTCTTTCTGTTTTTAGTAGAGACGGGGTCTCGTACTTGCTCAGGCTGGTCTCGAACTCCTGACCTTGAGCGATCCACCCACCTCGGCCTCCCTGAGTGCTGGGATTACAGGTGTGAGCCGCCGCGCCCGGTCCTCAATGCAAATTTTACATTAAGATATTTTTATGTAAAAGAGAGAAAACTAAAATTGGCCTTTCCTACAATTTCTAAGGCAGCTTTATATATTTAATACCTTTTTTAAAGTGCTTATTAAACTAAAAGAAATCCATCCAAAATGTACGGGAAGGAAATTTACCGTGACACCAGATGCCACTTGCTCTCACACAGCTCCAGTCCCCGGCCAGCCCAGGACAGTCAGGCAAGGCAGGGTGGGCAGGGTGCCTCTCTTCTCCTATATGACCCCAACCCGCGGTCCCTGGCCTTCCCTGGGCCCTCGTGCTGACGTGGGCTCGTGGCTTACCCCAACGGTTGGGTGTGGCCCATGGAGAGTCCAGCAAGAGGTGACAGGAATGGGTTGAGGGGGAGGAGAGTGAGGTCAGCGTGCTCCTTCCCTGCAGAGAAAGGGCCCCACTCCCCACTCAGCTCACAGGTCCTGCTCCCTGGTCATGGTGGGCACTGCCCTGCACGCTGTGGGCTCCCTACGTCCTGCCCACACTGCCTGAAATGAGCCCTTCGCTGCATCCTCTCCCAGGTGCCCGATTTCCACAGGACACTGGTGCTGGCATCCTGACACCTCCCACAGGCTGCCTCTGGCACTGGAATTCCACTCTAGGTGATGATCTGCCACGTCTACCGAACAGTTCAAAACGTCCACAACCAAGGCAGCTAAGAAAGTTAGCTGGGAAGGAGAGAGCCCACGTCATCACACGACTTACCCTAAGAGTTTCTGACGAGCGTTATCTTGTAACTGCGCGATTCTTTCTGGCCCGAGATACTTAGATCCATTTGGCCCGTCACATACTAGCTTGTTAACAGCAGCCCTGAGAATATTAATCTATAAATAAATGGCAAAGTAAGTACTCATATGGCTCCACTGTAATTGAATTTTATTAAATAATTCATAGCATTCAGAGTTAGTACTCTGTAACTATCATCAATATGGTTTCTGGGGAAATTATTAAAACAACAGAAATAACATTGATAACCACAATCATAATTTAAGAAGTAGTACCAAAAGAAAAAAATTAAAAACCAGCAAGAAAAGTTCAGACCTTTCAGTATAAACACACTTTTTAAACTTTCTACACTAAAATTTAACAGTTTAACCTGTGGGGTTACACAGCTGTAACTCACAACATACACATTTCTTTGACTCTGTTGATGATGTGCGTATGAGAAGTATCCTGCCCCCAAAGGTACCACGTGCTGTGTTTTGTAGCCAGTCTTTGTCACAGTTCTAAAACAAACTTTATGTTTTGGAGTCATTTCAGATTTACTTAAGAGCTGCAAAGCTGGGACAGATGCTGCATGCCCTGATGCAGGGCCGTCCTGCCAACACCTTGCACTGCACGGCCCAGAAGCCAGCTCGGGGCACTGCCACAACTAAACTCCAGGCTGCATTTGGGTTCAACCAATTTTTCCATTCATGCCCTATTTCTGCTCCAGGGTCCAACTCTTGTCATGTCTCCCCTGGTATGGGACAGTTTCTCAAGACCCTGATGGTTTTGAGGAGTTCTGGTCAAGTATTTGGTAAACTGTCCCCGGTTTAGGTTTGTCTGATGTTTTTCTCATGATCAGACCGGGGTGAGGTGCCCTTCTCATGCTGTCGTGACATACCACGTGACGGTCACTCTGGTCACTCAGCTGAGGCCGTGTCTGCCAGGCTTCCCCATGGTGAAGGCTGTCCCTCTCCCTCTCTCTCCTGGGTGGAAGGAGGTCACGGAGTCCAGCCCGCCCTCCGGGAGAGGGGTGCCCACACGCTGCGCTGGGAATTCTGAGCAGATCCGTCTCCTGTCCTCCACTTGGTTACCCAGTCATTTATTTCCATCCGTATGTACACGTGGGTATTTTACACTTGGGGATATAATCCAACACTGTATTTATTTCGTTTGCTCCCGCTGTTCCAGCCTCGGCCAGTGGCAGCTCTCTTGGGGGGCCCCTGTGTCCCTTTGGCCTGTCCCCAACCCCTTGTTTTTGGAGAACATCCTTACTTTCTGGCACTATAGAAGCTCCAGGCTCGGCTCATCTTGTATTTTCCCTACCCTAGCCCTAGATCAGCCATTTCTCCACTGAGCCCCTGGCTCCTTTTAATGGAGAATCAATCCTATCAGAAATCATAATCTGGGTGTCTGTTCACTGCTACTGGGGCGTCCCTGCTTCTAGGCCCTCACAGAGCTAGACGATCCGGGTATGCACGTGCGCTCACGCAGACACACACACCTGTCACCGTTTCTGTATCTACACATCTGTACGCATTCAGCTACCCCCGATGTCTCCACTCTAATCCAGGACCATGGGTTCATTCTTGCCTTCCTCTCCTGCTTGTTTGTAACTCCCCTCCCCAGTATCACGAACCTGGCTCTCGCACCTACAGACTTGTTTGCTCAACCCTAGTGACGTGTGAAGCAGTGTGGAACCGTCAACTCGTGCGCCCATGAGAATCGACCGCACGAGGGCACGGCGTGCACACCAGTGCCTCCAGTCCACAGCCTACTGTTTCCAGTCAAAACGCCATTTTCCAAAGCTCCCTTTTCCTCACCCCTTCGGTGTGACTGTGTCTGCATTTGTCATCGTGAGACTCCTCTGTCACTGTCTGCATTCCAACCTGGGCGGGCACGGGGTGTGTTTTCAAATCCATCCATTAAAGTTCCGCTCTGTCACAGTGGGCAGAGTCTCGAATCGCTGGCCCAGTGCCGCACAGAAGGCTCCTGCACTCTGCCAAGCTCTCCTGAGTGTCAGACACTGCGCTGTCACTGGGCGTACAGGCAAAACGGGAGAGGAATAACTATGACACGATCACAAGTACGCTGCTCTTACCTCCACCACATCCTCCACGTTGAGATGAACGTCAAACGCCAGCTCCATGTCATGCTCCGGCAGTATGGGGGCCCCTGTAGCTGGATTCCACCCCAAGCCACAAAGGACTCCAGTATAGCATTTGCCATCCCGATCAACCCTAAGTCGAATGTTTTAAGAAGAGTTAATCATTTCAAAACTGTTAAACCACTGTATTAATGTTAAAGATCTGACCAATAAATACATCCTAAATTTTGTCAGCCCTAGTAAAAATTTGTGCATTTTTTCTTCCAGTTTTTATACTAGAAATATAGACATATGGCTGTAAGGACAGTAAATTAAGTATTTCTACTAATCCAATATTAAGTTTCTAATTCTCACTTTGGCAGACAATGAAAAGAATGTTTTACCACAGAAAGGTTTTCTTCTCCTACTGTTGAATTCTCTCTATGGGTTAAACTTATTAGGAAGACTTCTGGAGAAAAGACCATACATATTTATGACTTGTGAAACAAGTCTAGCACTTAGCGAAAGCCTAGAAAGGGTCTGTCCCCCCTTTCCATCCTGAAACGATGTACACATGTACGACACACGGTTTCGTATCCCACTTCTACCAGAAACTCGCCATCGCCCCGAACACCGGTGCATCCTGCCATGTCCAGCTCTCGGAGCCTCCCTGTGCCCGCCGCCCTCTCCAGCGCCGCTGCCCAGCCGGCCTGAGGCTCCTCCACTGCTCGCCGAGGCTCACGTGATGGCTTGCTGACCAATTTCCCCCACTCCTGCCTCCTCCAACCTTTCTTCCATGTGGCTTTTCAAAACAAGCCCAGTACTGCCCCTGCCTTGCCTGAACGCTTGCAGTACTTCCCAAATGGAGCACAACGAACAAACCAGTCTCTGCTCAGGTCTCCGCCTCGCCTCAGGTACCCCCAATTTCCCCCAAAGCCCCCTACTCCGCCTCCAGCCTCCCCACGGCCTCTGTCCAGCCCAGAGGTGTAGCCCGGCCAGCCTCTCCCCGGGGGCCTCCCTCCCGGCACCACCTCCCCTCACCACGCTCCCCAGAGACATTACCACTGAATGCCTTGTAAAATATTTTGCTCATTTTGACACAATTCAGACTTTTTTCCGTCATCTAGATCAGTTAGTTTTCTTCCAGCTCTGAGGTGTAACTGACAAAAAGTACACATATTTAAGGCACATGTATTTTGATATATGCATACACTGTGAAATAATTACCACGACCAAGTTAACGAACACTTCCATCGCCTGGCACAGCTGTGATCCGTGTGTGGTGAGGACGCTGGAGATCTGCTCTCCCGGCAAAGATCAAGCGCGCGATGCAGTACCGTCCACTACAGTCCCCACGCTGCACGCAGAGCCCAGAGCCTTTGCCTCTCACAGTGAGAGGTGCGGAACCAGTAAGTTTTGATGACAAAATTCAGGCAAAACGGTTTTCTCCGTAATCCAAAAACATGTACGTGTTAGTCCCAAACACACTCCTAAATATATATGCACACACGGACACACCCTCTGTCTCTCTCTCTCTCGCCCTTTTCGGTTTATTGAAAATGACAGGGGATCCAACTTTAAGTAAATTCAAATAACAGAGAACCAGAATTCAAACTTACAGATTAGGTGTCAAGCATTTGCTCTAAAAACAGTCACAAAATGTTTCTTTGAATAGTATGTTCCTCTACATTGTTTTAAACTTACCAGGCGCTACTGAATCCATTTTAACAGAGCGCCACAGCCCACCACCTCCCTGGCAGAGGCTGTGAGACCGGCTGGCTGCTCTCCTGCGGTGGCAGCTGTACGAGGGTGGTCTGCGGGAGTCAGCCTCCACCTGGCCCACCCCAGGCTGCTAATTCTTCGCCCATCGGCTCTAAATCTTAAGTGAATAAAGGTAACTTAAGCACTGGGTTTACATCTCTTCTAGGAATCCTAAATATTTATGTGAACTTAAGAACCATCAATTAAGACCATGAAAATATGTTTAGTTCATTTATAATACATATTTTAGACTAAAATTGAAAATTGCAAAACTCATAACAGAAACAAAAGCAGCAACTCCATGCGGAGTCCAGTAAGGGCACGCTGTAGACGTCACTCACTCTGAAGTGACTTACGTGAAGGAGGTGACGTCTGCGTGAGCCGCCTGCTGCTATGTGTAGAAGGCTCATTTCTCTGGACAATGATGTTTGAAATAAACATAACGGAAGAGGAACTTCTAACACAAGCTAACATCCTGGGACTCCCTATGTCAGCCAAATAAGGAAATATATTCCTCAAAAGTTAAATGTGAGTCAGCCTGAAACACTGTATAAAAAAGAGCTCTGTTAAATATTCCGCACTGTGCATCGTTATTAATCCGCAAAGTGTTAATTAAATAGCAATATTTGTTAAAAGTCAAGGACATGTCTAAATCCCTGGGAAACACCTGACTTTGCCACATCCCTACCTGACCCCTCAGGCTGGGAGCTCCCTGCAGGGCCCACGCTGAGCACACACATCTCATTCGGTGCCCTCAGCAATCCTGACACCGAAGAGAGCCCATTTATACGGATGGGAGCCGCAGAGGCTAGAGGTCCTGCCTAAACTTGGCTGACACATGGCAGGGCCAGGGTCCCCACCCAGGCCTGTTTGCTGTCACGGCTTCCCATGAGACTTGAGGGTGTCCCGTTCTCAACATACTTTCTTAATCACCTCTCACTTCCAATACTTAAAAGGCACTTTTGCACTGCTCTTAAATTTTCTAAGGCTTTTTAAAAATATGGGGTGTAGATCGAGATATTTTTCAATTACAAAACAGTGCAGGAACACACTGTAACAAGTCAAACAGGTTAGAAAACAAGAGTGTGGACACGCCACATCTTCCAGAGATGGCGCCGCCCCAGCTCCCACCCACCTGCTGTTCCTAGGAAAGCACACGCTTCCCAGTGACAAGTGAGGTCCGTGAGGCTGGCTGGGACAGTACCGTGGCAAAGCTCATACTGTGTGACTTCCGTGGCTCATACAGGGTGACACAGCTGCCACCTGTCTCTTGGGACACTGATCCTTGGCACCCAGCCACCATGCTGAGGAAGCCCAAGGTAGCCCCAACAGAGACCACCCGGGGAGGCCCTCACGGAGATGAACTGAGGCCTCCAGGCAGCATCGACCACCAGCGTGAACCTCGACACGATCCCCACCCATCAGCCTTCGAGTCTTCTGCAGCAGACCCTGGCACCACTGAGCACAGACAAGCTGTGCCTCGTGTGCCCTCCTGAACTCCTCACCCACAACAAAAAAAGGCTGCTCTACCCCACTAAGTTTCGGGGTTGTTTCCTGGCATAGTGGCTAGAACATCCAGTTAAACAGTGACAGTCCCCTTTCGATCCACTCTCATTTAATTTTTAAGTTTTAACTGATAGAACTTTTTGTTGTTCTTTTGAAAGAGGCTCCCTCCCTGGGTGCCTACTTGGGAGCACCCCCTCTCCAGGCCGGAGGACTGCCCTGCGGAACACGCCTCGTGCTCTAAACCACGATCGGCACTTTGCGTTCTCAATAGCAAAATCTGGCTCCAAAAGCCAAGGGAAGGAGGGAAGCGTGGTGTTCTTGCCACGGCACTTGTTTTCAGATTTTTGCTTTCTGCCCCGGACACACCAGGCTCTGCTACACAGCGCACTGCGCGCATCCAGGGCAGGAACGCCTCCCTCAGGCTCCCAGTAACGACCCCACTGAACCGAGGCTGACACCGACTACTCCAGTCATTTGTAAACGCCTCTCCAGACGGGGCAGCAAGAGAAGTGACGCCCTCCTGGGACAGACACGTGGGGAAGAGGACAGGAAATCAGCACCTTCTTTACAGGCAGAGCTCAGTCAGCCTGACCCCCTGAGGGGCCAGCTGGCAGCAAAGGTCGCATGGCGGGACACGCAGAGCAGGGGAGTCCAACGCAGCCAGGGCAGTCCCAGCAGGTGCAGGAAGGGGCAACACGTACCTCCCTTCCCTTCTTAAATTGAAACAAAAGGTAAAAATTAAGTTCTTCATTTATCTTCCTTCCTTCCCACTGCTGTACAAAGAATATGTTGTAGGTTACAAAGTTACCATTTGGTCTTCAGGCTGCAATCAATTGTGACAGGACAGTGACAGACCTAGAGTGTGCACAGACTCCACCCAGACACCGCAGGCTGTTTCTAACAAGTGGCACCATGACAGCTTCTAGCACGGCAGCCAGATGCCACACGAGGAGACGCGTGCCGGTGCAGGTGGACGTGACGCAGCGGGAAGAAGGGCACGGGAGGGCGGCACCGTTGCACTCTCGGGAGCCGCGGCTCACAGAGACGACCCCGCTGAGAGCACACCCCAGCCACAGGCACGGGTGCCCAGACCAGTCTGCACCGATCCCAGCAGCTGCAGGAGACTAAACATGGGGTCAAAGGAAAATGATAGATGTTTGATTTGGGATGAGCATTTTCCAAAGTTTCTCAAAAATGGTTGCTCTTGACTCAACAAATTAAAAAAAAAAATCATACAACTATAATAATTAGAGTTTGGACAAAAATCCACCAGGCCCCTCTTCCCTTCCCAATAATCACCTAGTTAGGCCTATGGATTCAAAGACACCAGTCTTCTTCACACGGTCACGTAAACAGCCCCGATTCTGGCTCATTTAGGTCAAATTCAACAAAAGGAATATAAACCACCAGCTATGTGCAAAGCACTATGTACTATTTATACACAACTTTCTCCTATTAAGCTTATTCTTTTCCAGAAAGTTGGTGTTTCAAATACCAATTAATTATTTCAGTATTTCTTGAATGTCTACAACATAACCACTTGCATTCTGAAGGTGGAAACATAATACAATGTATTATTCAAATCCTCAAAAAGCTTATGTTTAAGAGAAGAGCTGAAGCGGGAGACAGACAAGAAGGGCATCAGGAGCAACTGAAGAGTTTATGTTTTCACTGATCATATCCCTACCTGTGCATGGTGTGATCCTTTCTCGTTATAAGCACATTGTAAGGTACTATTTTCACATGTCAATCCCCTACAAGGACTCGGAAGAAACCTGAACTCACAGAGATACTTATCACAGCATTAACGAAAATCAGAGACAAGCCAAGTCCCAGCCGTTACAGGCACATCAAGCCCTTCCAGGACAAGAGCAGGCAGAAGCAACCGTGCACGTGCACAGGGCAACGTCTGCACAAGCCACCGCACGCCCCCTTGGTGGCACACGACGCAATTATCAAAATGGAGATTTACAAAAATATCATAATACAAAAACGCTTATATTTGTGAAAAAGGATACAGTATGACAAAAATCTAAAATCAAAATAAAATGTATATACAAATTTAAAATATGCTAAATATATTTAAATTAAAATCTATAAATATTTAAATGATTGTGTTAATTTTTTCCTGTTCAGCTTTTTCTAAGTAGTATATATTTTATTGGGGAGAAAAAGAACATACACAATTACTTTCACAACTGAAAAAAAGCACTAAGCATTCTGAAGTCACAGTACTAGATGCTGAACAGGCACGACGGCAGAGAGGACTGAGTAAACAGCGGGGCACTTTCGCCCACCTTGGCTGCGTGGTCTATGACCATCCTCGGTGGCCCCAGCTGACCAGAAAAGGAGGGCGGTGCCGGGCCCATGTCAGTCCTGCCATGGCCATTTCTGTCCTGTCCCTGGAACGTGGCTCCTAAGGCCCCGATGTTACCCCTCTTCTCGCCGCCTTCCTCCACTAAGGCCTAGGCTAGGGCTTCCCCCACAAAGAATGCTCTGAGAACCCCTGGCTTTCAAACAAAACCTCACAAAGCGTGGCCCCTACTGTGAGGACGCTTTCAAGAGCTCTGCTCACACCATGACACGTTTTCTCTATTAAAGTCTCCACAGAAATCCTGTTTGAGCCTGGCACCCAGAGGAGCTGTGGTCTGCAGAGCAGTCTGTCTTCCGACCTCGCGGGTATCACACAGCCAGAGGGACTGACAAGGGCTCCCGCTGACAGCGGGGCGCCAGGAAACTCAGAATCACGCTCACAGCCACTGACGACAGGAAGCCCTCACCTAGCAGGCGTCTGAGCCTCACGCCCCCGCTCCAGTCTTTGCTGCCCTTGCTCAGCTTTTAACTGCAGCTCCCACGTGATACCGTGTGTGCCTTTATAAGCTCTGCAGTTTCATTCTGAAATATGTCCAGTCATAAATGCATCAAAATAATACAGGCTTATCACGAGCAGCCAGAGGGGTGGCGGCCAGGTTTTCTGCACAGGCTCTCTCCCAAGGGGCGTGGAGAGGCGCCCATCCCCCCGCCCAGGTTCTCACTCACAAACGCCTACCTTAACTCCATCACCGGTGCAAAGAGCATGCTGAGCAGAGCCGGGAGGCCAGGGATGGGAGGCATCAGAGAGGTTTCTCTCAGCAGCATGGTGGAGCCTGTCGGACATTCGGGGCCGGTCAGCGCGCAGGGCGGAGCTCCCTCCCGGCCCGCTCCTCAACTCAGGCAGCCCTTCTCCAGGTGAGTCTGTCCCCACAGGCCCCCGAACAGTAAAGAACTCCCCATTCTCTGTTCCCACAGCACCCCACAGACAGACACCCCACTGCAACGCTTGCGCGTCTATCCCACATGGGGATAACTCCTGGTGACTCTTCTCTTCTTTCTCCTCATTGGACTATCAGGGTTTTCTCAGGGCCGAGAACTTGGGTTTATTCTCCTTTGCAGCCAACCATGGTGGAATAAATGAACGCACAAGGAGTCCAGTGATTTCCACGTCCTTGTATACAAGGGAAAGGGATGACGCCCCAGTTCCCAACCCGGCATCCGCCAGAGTGCTCAGAGACAGCCTCGAAGCCCGCTCGAGGGCACGAGCTTGCTCCCTGGCAGAGGGTGGGCCTCCTGGCTACTGACGTCCAGGACATGAAGAAAGGAGGGGAGGAGCCCACAGAGCCCTCAAGTTACCAGTTGCGTTGACCGACAGGGAAGCTGCAACCAGCATCCTCTGGTGCAGGTCTTCCGGGGCGTCGCTGATGATGACAGAGTTGATGCTCTCCTTCTCGATCCAAACGCACCTGAAGGAAGGGGGCACAGAGAAGGGGCTACTGATCCACCACCCAGGCAGCGTGTCACGCCCAACCCACAACCAATACATTTCAAGACTACAGTCAAACACGAAAATGCAACACTAGACAGGTGGAAACATATTTGACTTCCAAACCTCCTGCATGCCTCCTCTTCCTGGACCACCTCGTGGCACCAGAGTCCACCTTCTTCTCTCCTCCGCTCCCTCCTGCAGGATCCTGACCACTCCTAAGCGGAAGTACCGCATGCTGAGGACGCCCAAACCTCCACTTCTACCCGAGACTCTCTGTGCTGCACTCCCAACCCGAAATGGCCACACCTGCATGCCAGCAGAGGGACCTGAGTGTGGCCCACCCCATACCTCTGTCACCTCTCAGCACAACTGTGCAGCAGCCCTGGCAAAACATCCTGTCCTTCCCTCTTCCCTCATCACTGACTCGAATCAAGCACCAGCCTGCCGGTTCCACTCTTGAAGGCGCTTGTAAAACTGTTTCTGCACCGCCTGCCATGGACTCAGCCCACATTCTTCCCGCCTGGACTGCACCGCGGCCTCGGAAGTGTGCTGCTGCCTGAGACGCCCCGGCTCTGAGGTCCGACGCATTCTTCACACCGCGGCTCCTCAAACCTCAGTGTGCGTGCAGTACACGGGGCCTTGTGAAAACGCAGGCTTCAGCATGCAGCCTGAGCCTCTGCATTCCTGACAAGCTCCCAGGGATGCCCGTGCTGCTGGTCCCCACAGGGTATTTTGAGAAGCCACAGCTTACCCAAAGTGATCATTTTAAAATGCGTGTAGTAAAGCTTCCCAGCGGTTTCAGGATGAGTCTACAGAGCTTGCTCCCATCTGCCATAGGCTCTGCAGTCCTCCATCCCCTCTGCCCAGCTCTCCGACGACACTAAATTCACTGACTCCTCACGAGTGCGAACTCTCAAAGTCGGGCCTGTGCACCTGACACCAGCACCAGCCCCATCCACCTGCCCTTCCTTCCCCCAACACCTGCACTTCAAAATCTCCTGCTCTGGAAAATCCCCGTGGCCTCTGAGTGTGGCCTGGGCCCCAGATGCTTTCACAGTGTCCCGTAACCCCATCGAGACCTGCTCACCCTATAGTGTAATCACCAGTTTTCTCTTCCACATCCCCCCCGGCTCCAGAAAAAATGAAGTCTCTGATGAAAGGTACCCAAAAATGTCTGACACAGAATGGTAACAGGTTTTGGGTGTCTGGCCCCTCCAAATCTCTGGGTGAAATTTGATCCCCAGCACTGGAGGTGGGCCTGGTGGGAGGCGTTTTGGTCGCTTGCTGCCCTCCCCACAGTAATGAGAGAGTTCTCACTTTGTTAGCTCGCTGGAGAGCTGGCTGTTAGCAAGAGCTGGGCACCCCTCCTCCTCTCTTGCTCCTTCTCTCACCACGTGACACACCCGCTTCCTTTCACCTTCTGTCATGAGTGGAAGCTCCCTGAAGCCCTCGGCAGAAGCAGATGCTGGTGCCATGCTTCCTGTACTGTCTGCGGAACTGAGAGCCAAAGAAACCTCTTTTCTTTATAAATTGCCAGCCTCAGGTATTCCTTTATAGCAACACAAAACTAAGACAGAAAACTGACACCAAGGAGTGGGGTGCTGCTATAAAGATACCTGAAAATGTGGGAGTGGCTTTGGAACCGGGTAAGAGGCAGAGGTAGCGTTTGGAGAGGCCAGAAGATGAGGGAAAGTGCGGAACTTCTGAGAGACTGGTCAAGTGGCTGTGACCAAAACACTGACAGAAACATGGACAGTAAAGAGCTGTCTGATAAGGTCTCCGATGGAAATGAGGACTTTATTGGGAACTGGAGCAAAGATCACCCTTGTCACACCTGAGAAATAAAATCCTAAGCCCCCCAACTGACTGAATGGACCCCTTTCTTGGCCAGGAAGGCCCCAGAGAAACCTTAAAACTGAGTTCCCAGCCACGACAGCACAGGGGGTCAAGGGCACACCTCATCGCGCCCCTCCCTCGCTAGCAGCCAGGGGCTTTCTTCCCCGAGGGCGGACAGGACCAGCCTTTGCAAGACTTGCTCCAGGGCCGATTCCAAACAACCCCTGCTGCTCCTCCCCTTGTCTGGTTCTGGCACAAGGACTGACCGGCACCCCTTCATGGTAAGAGGCCACCGACCATGGAGTGGTTCTGACCTGTCTACAGATGATGTGCAAAGAGGGTTTTTGTGTCCTTGGCTTCACCTTCTGATGTCAAAGGACTGGAAACTGTACCCCTGAATCATGAGGAGGGCTCCGTTTTCTGAACATGGATCCCATGAAGGGGCATGAAGCTCGACTGTGCACGTTTCTCTTCTCATAAATATCCATGACTGCTTCTATAGCTTATTAAATGTGGATATCCAGCCACCTTGCTCTGCACAAATTCTCTTTTACTGTTCCCTGGAAGCGCCTGCCCTCAGCTTCTGACTGGAGGCTCCGCTTCCCAGCCTGCAAGATGGCCACCTGCAGGCTGCAACCCTTTACGAGAAATAAAGCTCTCTCTTCCCAATTTATGAACTTCCTCATTCTTCACTTGACACACCTTAGCAAAGAACTTGACGGCATGTGTCCACGTCCTGGGGCTTTGTGGAAGGCCTAAAATTAAAAGTGATGACCCAGGGCATGTGGTGGGAGAAATTTCTAAGCAGCAAAGTGTTCAAGACGTGACGTGGCTGCTTCTAACAGCCTACAACCAGACATTGGAGCAAAGGAAAGATGTGAAGTTGAAATTTATAGTTAAAAGGGAAACAGAGCCTAAAAATTTGGAAAACTCGCAGCCTGGCCATGTGGCGGAGAGGAAAGGAGCGTTTTCAGGAGAGGAATCTGAGGATGCTGCAAAGCAGCCGCCTGCTAGCGAGACGGGCAGGCACAGAAGAGCGCCAGGTCAAGACAACAGGTAGAAGGCCCAGAAGCATTTCAGAGTCTTCCAGGCTGCCCCTCCCACTGTAGGCCCAGAGGCCTAGGAGGACTGAATGGTTTCAGGGGCCAGGCCTGGGGCACCACTGCCCTGTGCTACCTCAGGATGCCACTCCTTGCACCCCAGCCGCTCCAGCTGCGAAAGAGGGTGCAAGCCACAAGCCTCGGCAGTGTCCAAGTGGTGCTAAATCTGCAGGCCCGCAGAATGCAAGAGTAATGGAGGACTGGCAGTTTCCACCCAGATTTTGGAGGATGTATTGGGAAGCCTGGGTGCCCAGGCAGAAGCCCACTGCAGGCCCCCACAGAGAGGCTCTACTAGGGCAGTGCTGAGGTGAAATGTGGGGCTGGGAGCCCCCACAACGAGTCCCCACTGGGGCACTGCCTAGTGGAGCTGTAAGCAGGGAGCCGCCTCCCGGCAGACCCCAGAATGGCAGAGCCACCAGCAGCAGCAACCCCAGCCTGGAAAGCCACAGGCACCAGGTTCCAGCCCGTGAGAGCAAACACGTGGGCTGTGTGCCCAGCAGACCCAAGGGGCAGGGCTGCCCGAGGCTCTGGGGGCCCACCCCTCCACCAACACCCAGGATGCAGGACATGGGGTCAAGGGAAAACATTTTGGAGCTTTAGGATTTAATGTCTGCCCTGCTGGGTGTCAGACTTGTGTGGGACCTTTTGCCCCTTGCTCTTTATGGATTTCTCCTTTTGGAATGGGAGTGTCTGCCCGATGCCTGTACCACCACTGTATCTAGGAAGTAAATAACTTGTTTTTGATTTTATAGGCTCACAGCTGTAAGGAACTTGCCCTGAGTCTCAGATGAGACTTTGGACTTTTGATGCTGAGATGAATTTTGATTTTTGGGGACTATTGGGAAGGAGTGACCATATTTTGAAGTGTGATAGGAACATGAGATTTGGGGGCCAGGGGCAGAATGATATGGTTTGGATATTTGTCCCCTTCAAATCTCATGTTGAAATTTGATTCCCAGTGTTGGAGGTAGGGCTGAGTGGGAGGTGTTTGGGTCATGGCGACAGATCCTCCCTGAGGTGAGTGAGTTCTCACTTTGTCAGCTGACACGAGAGCTGGCTGTTAGAGAGAGCCTGGCACCCCTCCTCTCTCTCTGGCTCCATTCTCTCACCATGTGACACACCTGTCCGCCTTTCACCTTCTGTCATGAGTGGAAGCTCCCTGAAGCCCTCACCAGAACCAGATGCTGGTGGCAGGCTTCTTGTACTATCTGCAGAACTGAGAACCAAAGAAATCTCTTTTCTTTATAAATTACCCAGCCTCAGATAGTCCTTTATAGCAGTGCAGAAATAAGGCAAGTGGCTTTCATGTAAGAGAGAAAGAATGCCTTACATCTGGGGCTAAGTGAGAAATCAGAAGGAGTTAGAAAAGATAACCCATTCCAACAGTTTAGATATAAAGAAAGATTAGTTTCCAATGGGGGTCTATAAGTAGAGGAGCAGAGAAAAAAATTCATGGGAAACTTAAGTTAATCATACCTGAACTTGGATATTCTGGTCAAACTATGACACTTCAGTTCACAAGGGTTGAAAGGCCCATGGAGTATTGCCTATATGCACAAAATACAGGAAGTATTACCAATAAGCAAGATATCACTTAACATGAATTTTAAAAATCCCAAAGTCAGCTCATAATTTTTAAAAAGGCTTCGTCTCGATCATAACACCTTCAAGATTCAGTGAGAAAAAGGTACCTTAAAGAAGGTATTTTTCTGAGATGAAACTAATTCCCTTCAATGATTTCAACAACATTTCTCAATATATACATTTAACACATTAATTGCCCTGTAAGTTGTATTTAACTCACGATAGTTTTGAGCCCAGGGCCTCGTGAAGCATATGCAACTCACATCTCTTCACCTTGGGAGCCCAGTGAACTATTTTTCAAGTTGCATATAACTCACGCACAGAAAATAAAAAATCAAGTTGCATATAACTTATGCAGAGGAAACAATAAAAAATAACAAATTTTTCATTACATTAGAAAGGATTGTTTTGTTTTCAAAGTTTTTATTCTATTTTTGTAATAAAACACTGTGGCTCCAAGGAAAAACTTTTTTTTTCTAGTGGGGCAGTCAATGTGTTAAAGTCTTCGGCAAAAAAAAGGAAATATTTCCAAATAGTTTAGTAAAAATACTATTCTTTCAATTTTAGTAAACCAACCCAGTTGAACAGGTGGGCCTGAGACCACACAGGAAAAGGCTGGGGTAACAGAAGCAGAATCCCTGACAGGGAGGGACATGCCAGCCAACCGTCTTGTCCAAACAGGCAGCACCTACTCCAATGGCCAGCCAGGGAAATCGAGGCTGGCACCAGTTCTCAAAAGCCCACATGCCGTGTTTCTGTCAATCTGATAAACAAGCACATGTGGCCTTTGAAAAGAAAGGTTAAAAAAACAAAAACTAGTCAAAGCTTATCTTATCTCTAAACCCCACTGAACATTAAAACCCAGGTTTTTTTCTTATTAATAAAGGATCCACTGTGAGAAAAGTAACAGCTTTAAAGACCAGGAAAGAAAAAACCACCATGACTACCAGCTACAACGTTTAGCATATAAAGGTAGAATGATATCAAGTTTTTAAATTATGTTTTAAAACAACAACTACACATCACCTTACAATTTGGAGTACCCAGTTTACTGGAAGAAAAGCTCTCTAACAAAATCCGTATTAGATACTTCTCGTCGTCCTTCATGGAGGATGGCACAGACCCACCTGTTGTGTTTTCTACTGATTTGGAAAAGAGACCCTTGAGAACTTCGTGGCTTTGCTGAACAAAACACGAAAAGTTTTTTTTGTTAAAAATATATACTAAAAGCACTTTATTCCAACCTAATGAAAATATTTTACAGGCATAATCTTACTCTGGTCTCTATGTCATTAAGGTATAGGGAGATAATTTTATCAAGTTCATTTTAAAATTCAAACAAAACAAATATGACAGCCTTTACTAAATTTAGCCATCAGAGAACTTAGAAGAAACATCTAAAAAAACTTTTTTATACACAAAATTTTGGTCTTACACTAGGAACACTAACATAATTCCCTGAAGTGTTTTCACATAAGAACTACAAAACTGAATGAGTACCGGCCAACATTTTGCTAGTTTGTCTTCCCTCTCCTGATCCCTAGCAGAAATTACACAGATGAATAAAGACCGTCAATACCAGCCCCCAAATGGCCACTGATCATCTCAATAGATGCAGAAAAAGCATTTACTAAAATTCAACATACCTGCATAATAGAAACTTTCAACAAACTACTGTGAGATTTCATATCCCACAATAGCTGAGACAAGAAATCACCCAGGCATAGAAGGAATATACCTCAACATAATAAATGCCATATATGACACACCCACAGCCAACATCATACTGTATGGGGAAAAGCTGAAAGCCTTTCATCTCAGAACTGGAAAAAGGCAAAGACGTACACTCTCACCACTCCTATTCAACATAGTACTGGTCCTTGCCAGAGCAATCAGGCAAGACAGAGAAATAAAAGATGTCCAAATTGGAAAAGAAGAAGTCAAACTGTCACTCTTTGCAGACAACATAATCTTATATATAGAAAATCCCAGACTCCACCAAAAAACTCCTAGAATAAATGAATTCAGTAAAGTTACTGGATACACGAATTAACACACAAAAATCAGTATTGTTTCCATATACCAACAAGAAACTAGCTAAGAAAGAAATTAAGAAAGCAATACCATTTAAAATGGCCATTAAAAAAACCTAGGAATAATAACCAAGCATGTGAAAGATCTCTACAAGGAAAACTAAAAAATACTAATGAAAAAAACTGAAGAGAACACAAACAAATGAAAGATATCCCCTGTTCATGGATTGGAAGAATTTATATTGTTAAAATGACCATACTACCCAAAGTAATCTACAAATTCAATGCAATTCCAATCAAAACACCAATGACATTATTCCTAGAAATAGAAAAAAAATCCCTCAAATTCATATGGAACCACAAAAGACCCCAAATAACCAAAGCAATCCTATGCAAAAAGAACAAAGTGGGAAGCAACATACTACCAGATTTCAAGATTTACTACAAAGCCATAGTAACCAAAACAGAATGGTATTGGCATAAAAACAGACACATACACCGATGGAACAGAATAGAGAACACAAAAATAAATCCACATATTTATAGTCAACTAATTTTCAACAAAGGTACCAAGAACATACATTGAGGAAAGGACAGTCTCTTCAATAAATGGTACTGGGAAAAGTAGATAATCACATGTATAAGAATAAAACTAGACCCCTATCTCTCACCATAAACAAAAATTAACTCGAAATGGATTAAAGATTTAAATGTAAGACCTTAAACTATAAAACTACTGGAAGAAAACATAGGGGAAATGCTTCAGGAGATTGGTCTGGGCAAAAATTTTAACGGCTAAGACTTCAAAAGCATAGGCAACAAAAATAGACAAATGGGACTATATTAAGCTAAAAATATTCACAGCAAAGGAAACAATCAACAGAGTGAACAGACAACCTGTAAGATGGAAGAAAATACTTGCAAACCATTAATCCAAAAAAAGACTAATATCCAAAACATACAAGGAACTCCAACAGCAAAAAAAAGCAAACAATCCAATTAAAAAGTGAGCAAATGATCTGAACAGACATTTCTCAAAAGAAGATATACAAATGGCCCACATATGAAAAAATGCTCAACATCACTAATTATCAGGGAAATGCAAATCAAAACCACAATGAAGTACCATCACAATTAGGAAAAGAAATAAAAAACCACAATAAAATATCTCACCCCAGTTAGAATGGCTACTATCAAAAAGACTAAAAATAAATGCTAGTGAGGATGCTGAGGAACGGAGACTCTTATACTCTGTTGGTGGGAATATCAGTACAGCCTTTATGTCAAATAATGTGAAGGTTTCTATAAAAACTAAAAATAGGACTACCGTATGATCCAGCCATCCCAATACTGGGTATTTATCCAAAGGAAAGGAAATCAAAATGTCAAAGGGATATCTGCACTATTCACAATAGCTGGGGTATGAAATCAACCTAAATGTCCATCAACAGACGACTGGATAAAGAAAATGTGATATATACACAATGGAATTCTATTCAGCCATAAAAAAGGAAATTCTGCCATTCTTGGCAACACGGATGAGCCTGGAAGACATCATGTTAAGGGGAAAAGACAGGCACAGAAAGATAAACACTGCACGTTCTCACTCCTGTGGGAACTAAAAATATTTGAATTTATGTAAGTAGAGAGTAGAGCTGTGAGTATTAAAGGCTGGGAAGAATGCGGAAATGGAGAAGAGGAATAAGTTACAGTGCCTTACATACGAAAGGGTGAATATGGTTAACTAGAATTTAATGAAGATTTTCAAAAAGCTAGAAGTGAGGATTTTGAACGTTTACAACACAAAATGATAAATGTTTGAGGTGATGGATTTGCTAATTACCCTGATCTGATCATTACAAATTGTATACATATATCAAAATGTCACTCTGTATCTCATAAATATGTACAATTCTTATGTATCAACTAAAAATAAAAGGAAAAAATAGTTGCCTCTCTAAAACCTTCAGACCAAGAAACATAACTTTAAAACTGATTCTGAAATAGTTGAAATAAATTTTAAAATGCTTGAAATATCTGCAAGAAACATTAACTACTTCCATTAGGGAGATAAATCTTAGAATTCACTTTTAAAACTCCCCAAATAGAGAATCAAATCTAATTTTCACTCTAAGAAAAAAAAAAGATGAACAAACAAAAACAGTAACTATCCAGCCACCATAATTTAGTCTCGGAGAAATCTAGAAGACATTCAAAATGGCACCACAGGTCTTCACACAAGTACGGTACACCAAATGACGGAGAAACTCTGTCTATTCACCCCTCAATATGCTCACAGAGGAAGAAAAGCCCCCCATCCCCCCCACACACACCCAAAACCAAGAACAAAAGCACATACTTTCGACTCATAGGACTCCTCCATGAGCTCGGCATAGCCCTCCTCGATGAGGACATCTCTTATGTTGATGGCGTCCTGGACTCTCGAGTACCGGTACACGTCCACGTGCAGGACACTGTGCACGACAGAGAAGACCTTCACCAGGAGAGCGCAGCTGCTCACTAGGGAGGCAAACCGCTGGCTGGCCGAATCACTCCAGTGCTCACCACAGACAAGAGATTTTGCTGATGGTCTCATTTTGCAAATCTTAAATTCCAAAGCCTACAGGACAGAAGGGCATGGCTGAAACAGTTTTATAAATGAGCAAAACACTCATCCCAAACGCCACTGAAAGTGGCCTTGTTCATGTACCTTTAACAGTGTTCACATAAAAATGTTACAAAAAGTAATTTTTGGGTAGTGAGGATTTCCTAGTTAAAGAAACTTGATTTTAATTTTTTAACAGCAAAAGAGTTTAGAGTAACTTTTAGATTGTTTTCATACTGACAGAAAGGTGTATGTGAATATGTCTCCAGCTCAACCAAATTCTGTCTGGTTTCAACATAACCAGAAATCTTAGAAACAGTATTAGAAAACACTACTGAATTAAAACAATTTTTTTTTGCTAAGTTTGAAGCTGGGGTAGGGAGGGAATACGACCTCCAGAATCAGATCTAGCGTTCAAAATTCATTCCATGGAATGTTCTCTATCTTACCTGAAAGGGAAGTTCAAGAAATTGACAGGGAATCTCCATTAAAAGATCCAGATCCACATGAGACCTATTACCATAATCTACAAAGAACACCTGGAAAATAACGTAGGCATACGCTTTAGTACAGAGTTAAAAGCAACACCCTGCTTGAGCACTAGCAATGCAGTGGTCCCCTCTAATCCTGTAAGTATGGAATTCTTAGAGTGACCTGAGCTTAAATCCACATATTAATGAGGCAAATAATTTAGACTACTTTTCTAATTATGATTATTTTAAATTTAATTTCCACCGATAATTACAAAAGATGTTCTGTAAACTGCTATAAGTTTGTCTCATTTCTCTTTGAATGATTTGTTACAGAAAAACATACCTCAGCAGAATTTCCAGAAACATAAAGAATTTGAGCTCTAAAGTAGCTTTCTTTGTCAAAATCAGCAAAAGGTGCCAGACAGACCAAGTCTGGATGTGGGTGAGTGGCCAAGGGTACCAATTTCAGCTGGTTTATTTCAGCAGTAAGATTTTTCAGAATCTTCGCATTTTTTTCATCAATCCTATATCCCCAAAAGTGTCCCACTTCAACCACCTGAAAAGGCAGAGGAAGAGGAGCAGAGATGAAACTGGGAAAGGACTCTGCAGGAGGACCGCCAACTAGAACCATGGCTGGCGTGCCGCGCCGCACAGCATTCCACACGCTGCACTCCTTGGAACACAGGGCTCTACAGGCTGTTAAATAGGTGCTTGTGGAATGAGGAGGGGCTCCCTGGTCAACACAAGTGAGGAAACGTGTGTCACACATCATTTTCTTGGGGGTACAAGACTCATTAGCATACAAGAGTGCACAGAAGAATCACTTCATCTGTGCTGAGCCCCAAGAGGAAAGCCGTCACCACAGGGCCTGCAGGTGCCCTCCGGGGTGGCGCGGGCGGCACAGCCCACCAGACAAGCAGTGCCGAGTGGGAGGAATGGGAGAGAGGACGTTCCATCCAGAAGGGCACTGCTGAGCAGCTTCTGCCCACTGCTGCCCCAAGACCTTGAGGGCCGGGCCCCTAGAGTCTGGAATCCAGACGCTACAAGAAGTTTCCCAATGTGCAGCTACAGATTTGCCAGAAAGCATACAAGTATTTTAATTGAAATTTTATTCTAAAGTAAAAACCATACTCAAATAATAATGGTACTGATGCTAGTTTTGTCAATATAAACTGAATTATACATGCATATATCATTATTTTAATTAGTATTTTTAACATGTATCTTACTAAATCCAATTATTTTAGCATTGTGTAAATGTATATGACATTTCAAAAATTAACTTTGATTCTAAAATGAATATTTTTTTCGTTTTCCATTTTAGTTAGCCACATTTCAATTTAACAAGTACAATAACTCAAACTCACCCACAATTACTAGATTATTAAGATGCACAGGTTGTGTGTGTATGAACTTATTTCGCATATATAACATGACAATTTTAGATTAAGAAGGAAAAGCTCAATGCCATCATTCTTACCTCTGTGACATCAATCGTTAGAAGCAGATCTGTAGCGGTCCAGGACCTGTCTGGCGTGTTAAATGAGACTTGTATGGGCTCTATTGTCTGCTTCTGGAAGTCCACATTCACCCTTTGCAATTTTTTTAAAAAGATAGTAAAAATCAAGTGTTACAAAGACAATATGTTTACAAATGTAAAGTTTTCACTTGAACTATTCTCATATTTATACAAGTAGATAACATTTTAATAAAATATCTAAAGCCAGAGATGACAAACTTGATTTCATTTCAAACATGGATTTCTGGTGGGTTCCTGAACTGTCCTGGAAGGGGTACGCACCCCAGTAGTTATACACTACCCTCCAGGAACACATCCTAAAAGCCAAGACTCTTAGAAAATATCCACGTTCACTTTCAAGGGTATAAATTCCAAATCTAGGACCTGCAATGTTTCCTAACTTGTGATTTCAGAAGTGAGTGGCTTTGACTTTTAGAAGTCTAACTGGCTCAGTGCTATGTTAGAAAACACACACACGATTGTCTAATAAACCCAAGAAATATAATTCATCTCTTAAAGCAATAAGACAGTAAATGCTAAAGTCCTGAGATATAAAAGACAAATTTGATAAAAATAAATGTTCTTTTCCTAATACTTTTATTCCAAAATGAAGGGCAAGAATTATAAGCGAGATCCTGATCCAACTCCTTTCCCAATCTTCAGACCCATTTATTGATGAGTGGCTCAGGCAGAGGTACCCAGCCCTCAGGTGCAACTGTAAATCAGGTCTGGTTTAACAGCAGGACAGGGCTTCTCTGTGTGGAGGATGGAACCCACCACACTCCCAAACACTCAGAAGCCAAACATCGCACACTGGGTGAAACTAGATGGAACCCACTTCCCTTCTTTCACCAGTTCTTCAGATTCCTGTCGAGTTCCTCGTGGCATTAAAAAGTTGACAAATAAGAAATGATGAATGAGACTTCTTACACATGTGACTGTGAAAATATGGCCAAAAAGGCAAACCAATCTGCCACAAATACCACAGGGTGATTTAATATGGTCCAGGAGAAAAAGAGCCATGAGCTCAATGGCAGGTGCCACTAACTCCTGAGCCAACCAGCCCCGTGCAGGGTCCCAGCCCTACCCCACCCCACTGGGTGGAGGGAGAAACGCCACCAGGCAAGGAAGGGCAGTGCACTCTGGCACGCAGACAGGTGCTCCCAACTGCAGCTCCATTCCATCCCACTGTCTGCTCTGCTGCAAACAAAGAACACTCCATTTTGCTTAATAAGAGAATTCTCAAAAGGAAATGCGTAACTGTAAGGAGGAAGAAAGGAAATTAACATCAGATTTCATACCTACTATTTACACTAAAAGTTACATTAATGATTTCACTCAATCCTTTCAACAACCTTGCACAACAGGTATCCTATCTATTAAGCAGGTGAAAAAAACTGAGGTTCAGAGAGGTTAAGTAATGTGCTCAAGGACACAGTGAGGACATGATGAAAACAGGACTCAAAGGCAGCTCCACCTGGCTACAAACTTTCAATGTGAGCTAAAGCAAAGTCAGAGCAACAGTCATTTTAAAATAATGTTTGAAAACATGAAAGCAGGTGGAAAGAGTCTACCCCTCCCTTCCGCAAATACCTCGTGCTCCTGAGCTTGCACACACTCCCTCCTTGCACCTTCCCTTCAATCTCCTCTGCAGAGTGCACACTGAGCTCCAGTGAGACTTTCAGCTGAGACATCTTAACTGCCATATACACTGCAGGAAGAGTTTTAAATCTCTCCGTTGGATTACGCGAAAACTCCACAAAGGCTCTGTGCCACGAATGTAAATTAAAAGATAAACTTATCAGGCATCTGATAAAAAAGCACTGCATATTCATTTCTCTTAAGATCAGACAGAAATTCTCACTGTCACATCTCTCCTCAAAAATGCCAGCAACTCTTCAATCTATAATTACTCAATAACAAGTATTTATTGATATAAGGGAAAATTATTCACTAAGAGAAATAAAAGTTACAATGGCATGTATTAAACTAAAACCAAATATAACCATTATACAGCATAACTCAGAACACTAAAGTCACAAGAAATTTTCAGTTAAGAAATCTTAATTTTCATAATTATAACAGAATGACAGGTTTGCTTTTTTACTATTATAAAATAAAACACAAACACAGAAAGCCACACAAATGCACAGCTCAATGATCCTTGTGCTCCCCCATTAAATCTATTACACTAAGTAATGCTGATAACTGCCCCCTCCCCGCCTATGTCAGGGTCTGACTCCAGCTCTGTCTGCAGGAGGGGGCAGCAGGCATGGGCAGGGTGCCTGCAGGATGTCTGCACACGGGGAGACCCTCGAGTTTACCTTGTCTGTGTGCAGGTGTCCTAATGCCCCTGGTCAAGATGTCACCCACAGCCGCACAGACTCGTGACCCCTTGAGCTATTACAAAACCACTTGGAAAAGAGCTCTCTCGCGGACACGTGTCCTCTTGAGTGACATGGAAGGATGCTGAGCCCAAGAGCGTCAGGCGGGGTGTGTCCTGAGCCGCTCCCCTGCAGCCCTCCTTTGCAGATGGCTCCTCCTCACTACCACCAGGCACGCGTGCCTTCCACCCGCTGCCTGACTCACACACTTCCATCTTAGGCCCTTTCTTTAGAGGGCTCCTAAGTCTCTCCTTAGAAGTAATTTCTTTTCAACTCCAGACCTCAGCATATGCCCCTTGCAGCCCTGTGCTCCTGAGCGTCCAGGCTGGAAGACCCGACCCTCCTGGCCTCCTCTCTCCTTTGTCCTCCACATGCGGTCATCAGCCAGACCCAAGAGATCGTCTTTCCTGCCTGCTGCCTCCTTTCCATTTCAAATACTTCCAGGCTGGTTCACACTCTCGCTGCCTCTGCTTTGGCTGCTGCAAAGACTCCAGGCCTGGCCTCCTCGTCTCTTTTCTTGATCTACTTTCACTTACCCCTGATTAAGTTCCAGGAAACCCAGTTCAGATCAGAACACTCGGAGCCTCCAAGTACCCATCCATTTCTGTTCACACTCATCAGTCTGCCACAGAAGACCATCCAAGAGACAGAGACTGGCCCCCCACAAAACAGGCTCCATCTGACACAAAGCAGCTCCCGCCCAGATACTGTCGCTGTTCCCCCATGGTCCCACACTTTCCAGGTCCAGACCAGCTCACACCCTCCTCTTGCTGCAGCACCAACCCGACCCTGCTCCACCTGCCCCTCCACCGCCAAGGCCTAGCACCCAACGTCCACCCCAGGAGTCCTGAGTGGGCATTACTGCGCCCACACTGGGCCTCAGAGAGAACATCTTCTGACCTTCTGGGTCTCTCTTTTGAACCAATTTTACTCTCCACCCCTGCCACTGAGCTGAAAGGTTCTTACGGGACAAAGTGTGCCCAGGTCCCGCCTGTGCCCCTGGGCCCAAAAGCCCTTTGCACCTCACACACGTTCTGCATAAAGTAGGCCCTGCTGTATCCAAAACAGAATATAGTTCTTGTTCTTTGAATTACTCTTTTATATCTTTCTTTGCCTTTAAATACTTGAATCCCAAGTACAGGTACTGATATAACCTAAAAGAATACTATTACTTCCAAAAAAAATTGGCATGACATTTGTAATGTGACTAAAAAGCTGGAAACATGAGGAATGCAATAAAATACAAGTAAGTACCTATAAAGAGGTCCCAGACAGGAAGAATATGAAACAAATACAAAATCTAGTCCAGTAGCAGAGATGAGTGAACAAAGACGCTGCAACCTTAGTGAGCGCCCAGACTTCCGACCACTCAGTCAGTCAAAGGAACATCCATGCACAACCGGAAACTCAAAAAGGGTAAGAGGACTTTCAATATTCAAGAATTGTTTAGCTGTGTTTCCAGTTTTAAACACGTGATTTTTATACATGACTAAGAATATGACTGCTTATAATTTATATCAGAATATTTAAGAAAACTCCAGACACTATAAATTTAATTCATTAAATCTATAAGAGTGGTTGTAAGTGTTTAGAAAAGTTTTTCTTGTTAGAGTTATGAATCTGCCTCACGAGGGATCTACAGGCCTACAAAGAAAATCAATACATTAATCATAGAAATGGAACTTAAAATATTAGAGAGAATTAATCCAAGCTGAAAACGAATTTGATACATTCAGCTTGAGTTAACTGGACATTAATCAAAGACAAAGTGAAAATGTTCTTATTTACTAGATTGGCAAAGCTTTGCCAAGTTAAATAAAAGTTTATAAAACATTTCTGTAACACTAGGAAACAATTTCTACCTTTAAAAATTAAAAATCCATTTTAAAACTATAAATAGTCTTTTTTGTGCATAAACATTTCTTGTTCAAAATAAAAATTTACAGTGACACTCCAAAACATACCATTTGTTCCTTACCTGAAATTAAAATAGGGCCAAATGTAATTGAGTTTTTACAGTGTTTGTCTTCTAAACATATTTAGAACATATATGTTTTAAATAATTATATGCAGATACACTATTTGGGGGCATCCTCCTCGCCTACAACATAACGATTACTGGTGACTCAGAAAGAAAATCCTGGGGACAGGTGCCTTGAAGCAAAGACCACTCCCACAGAATCCACCCCAGCACCACACTGACCACCCTGGCCATGGCCCACACAGCTCAGTTCCTTTAGGAGATCACTTAGTTGAAAGAAAAGATAAATTGCTACTAACAATAAGATAAACCAATGCTCCATTTTAAGAGCTTCCGGAAGCACCCTACGTGAAGACCCATTTACACATGCATCTAGTTTTGAGAACTGGCATCTGTAAATATTTAAAACTTTTTGCCTCTTTCATAATTGCAGCTGATTACAAAAATATACTACTTACTTTGCACCATCAAATACAATGGATCTGACTTGCCCACACGGTCTAAAGAGAGACTGTAGCTGTTTGTGGTAGAGAAACCCGTAGGGAGGAATGTGCTTCAGCTGTCAAACATAACACAGCATCAATCAGAGTGGGAGACACGGAGCCAGCAAGGCAGTTATGACATTCATAAGCTCAAAGCGGCTGCACATTATTGTAGTTTGCAAAAACGTAGTTTACAATCTTTAACCATAACATACAGACTCTATAGATCAGTGTCTTTAATGGCTTAATGACTTTTAAATTATAACTAAGTTTTAATAATAAATGTTAAATAAAGGCTAATTCTTACTCTAGTAGTAAACTGTCTAGTAGTCTAATACAGTAAAATTAAGATTTCTGTTTATTCTGTTTTATTTTATCTTATAATAATCAAGCTGACTAAACACGTCTTTTAAAAACATAGTATTTCCACGTAAAGCACAATGAGAACGTAAACTCTAAAGGACGATGTGCAGCTGAGCGGAGGAGGGAGCGTCTCCTCACCACCAGAGCCAGAGGGAGCTCTCGCCCTGCAGCATGCTGGGCTGCGTCCACGCTCTCCCAGCATCTCCTGCTTCCTCCTGATCCAGGGCGACCTCTGTGCCAGCTGCGGCTCTGCGAGGGGCCCCTGCCCAGTGAGCAGGCCTGTCTGTCTCAGGGCGCAGGACAGGAGGTGAGTGCAGGCATGGCTGGGACTCAGGTCCAAGCTCAAATCTTGTCACTCCCTGAAGCTGTATGTCTCCTTAGCCAGGTTACGGAAGTGCCTTAAGACTCAACTGCCACATCATGAAATAAGGATGACAATGATAAATTCCCAATTCAAAGGGTTAGCGTGAGGCTCAGAGAAGAATAAGAAGTGCTTAACACACAGCCTCTCAAATAAGTGATAAACAAAGCTAGCTATCATGTAGCTTCTATGATGCCCAGGGTAGGTAACTTCTGGCCCCGGTGTGCATGGTGACTGGACTGCCTGTCACCGCGGTGAATACAGCTCCACGTCTGAGGAAGATCCCCACAGGACCCTTCCCCCATGCACGGCCAAAGGAAGAACACCACGAAGGGACCAAGGGATGAGAGAGGTCGCCAACCAAGGAGCTTAGTCCACCCTAAGGGCCAAGAAGAACACTGGTCCCAGGCCAGCGACCTGCAGCAGCTGTACGAAGCCAAAGACAGCCTTTTAAATCAAATCCCGTCCACAAGCATAAACTACATCTCAGCTGCCACTCAGGTCTCCAGCGGGAGCACCAGCCCCTCTCAAAGCTCGTCAGAGAGCTCAGACTGGAACGCTCCGGTCACCTGTGACCCCTCCTTGTGAACTCATTTCTTCAGTGACAGCAGCGGTGGTGGAACAACCGGAGTAAAAGCTGGCGACGTCCAAGCACTGTGATGCACCAGGCACTAACTTCTAGTGCTTTTCATACCCTTTAGTGGATACAGGCAAGTACCACAACCAGACAGTCCAGGAACACTTCGGTTCAACTCCCGAAGGCTGTACTCCAGCTGTGAATCTCACTGCTGCCAATCACACGGCCTGCAGATGCTCCAGTGGTCAGCGCCTGAGGCTGGCCATGACATTCGGCCAAAGCATTTAAATGCTGATTTCCAGGCCACACCTCCTAGCTCACATCTTGTGGGGCCCTCAAGTCTGAATGTATAAATCAGTAAATTAAATAAACAGTCTCTTGGCGGTTCTGCTGGGCACCCAGGTTGGGGAAATCACTGGCTTGACCTAAGCTGCTGACGACAACATTTTATTTTGTGTAAAATGAAGCTGTTAAGTAACAGAATGTTTTTAAACTTATGGACGAGTGCCTTAAATCCTTCAAAATAGCACATGATCAAATCAGCATTAGCCATGAACACATAAATCCTTAAGGCTTTCCCCTAAGGCCAGGTCTGTAAAAATGAGGCAAAAGACTGAGGGACAAGCAGGTGCATCTGAAAAGGCCAAACAAGCCCAACTTTCATTCCAGGGCAAGATCCACCGGCACTCGCAGAAATAGAGACAGAGAAACAGACTATTCTGCACTGGCCACGCTAAAATGAAGCTCCACGTGGAAACCCAGGGCTCAGCCCCCACCCCAGGGAGGGCTGTTCACCTTTGGCACCTACCACGACAGTTGTCTTTGGGTCTTTGCCAGCCAGCTCCCGCACGGTCATCTCCTCATCAGGTTGTCCAAAAGTGAAGTAATTTGGATAAAAAGCACCTGCCAACACAACCTGGAAAAGAAACTCATTTTCATGAAGTAACGGCATTATTTTATCAGTTATTCTCACCAACATCCCAACCTCATCCCAGCATGATATAACATCTATAAATGTAAAAGACGGGCATCTAGACCTTTCACTGACTAAGCAGAGAGTCACATTTCTGGTTATTTCACTATAACAGAAACGCTTTATACACAGTCTTTCTTCAAAATAGCCTCAGAATGAGGTTTAGGAAACAGCAGTGAGTTCAACGATGACACAAACAAAGCCCCAGGGGTTGGGCAACTCTCTCCACCTTCTCCCTGGCACACGTCCGCAGGTCCAGTACTCTAACAGATGTTCAGATAAAACTCCAACTGGGTAACTTAGACCCAGGGCAGCAGGCTGGCACCCAACATTCACCTTTGAAAAGCACTCTACAGAGTCCCTTCTTCAATAAAAATATACCCTGTTTGAAACATACACCCACAGAAGACCCTCGCCCAGCCTTAAGGCAATTTTACATCCAGAAAACTTCTCGCATTCCCAGCACACCCCGTTTACAGGCACCCACATTCACACCCGGTTCTGCACGCATCAGCCGGCCCTCGTCCAAAATCCAAAGCAGAAGCATCCTCCACCTACCAGGACACATTTTCTTCCTCAAAACTCCTAAGCCTCCATCCAACTGCTAATGATCAGAATCCACAGCCTAAGTTAAAATAATATATTCAGCGACATAAACTGAACAATATTAAGAGCATTTTCACTTTCTTAAAAGGCAAAACAACAGGATCTAAGCAATGATCACAGCTGGTGCTCTACACACAACACTCCCCTGGAAATCAGAAATGGGTCTGAATCCATTAAATAAATAAATAATAAACACCCTCTAAGTGCTTAATAAATAAATAAACACTCTCTAGGTAGATCATCAACTTAATGACACAGAGAACAAAGATAAGAATTTTTCTTGGTTCCCAAATACGGCGTGAGCACTATGGATCTAAAATCTTCAAAGCAGGTCGGTATCAGAAAGCAGGAGTCAGCACTTCCTCAACCACGAGCCCTGGGAAGCAGAAAGAATCAGTAAAGAGAAGCCAGGCAACTCCAGCACACCTGCAGGATGAATCGCTGCTTGTATATATACTCTGGGTCCATGACAGGTCGCCGCGAATCCACATACATGTTGAACTGTGAGATTCTATTCTTCAGTTCTTCATACAATTCAGCCACCTGAAAAAAACATCGAAATCTGGTATCTCAAACCACATGTGTTATCAGAATAGTGAAAACTCTAGCAAATAAGTGCACAATGGGATAAGTATGAACACGTCTATGGGATGAAACACTGCTATCAGAGCCATCTTATTAAAGATTAATTAATAAAGAATGGAAGAGACAATCAATACAATACTAACAGAAAATACCAGAACACGAAACTGGTTGGCATATGTTTCATGATGCCAATTTACAAACACACCCCCCTACTGGACACAGTGCCAATGCATAGCTGCAGTGTCCTGGGGGGCAGAACAGCAGATGACCACTTCCTAGCCCTCTGCCAGGAACAGGCACTGCTTCCGTGATCAAAAACAGGGTAAGTGACCAATGGCCAAACAAACGGTCCTTCTAAATGGAAAAGAATCAACATCCAGTTGAGATAAAGACTGTTTCATACAAACTGCCACACTTTAAATGTACACACATCAAAATACATAACTCTGAATACCTATGAGTTGATCACAAATTAAATTATCACAAAATTATCTCAATAAATTGCAAAAAGTAAAAAACATGCAATCACAAGTGTGAACATAAGTGGGGGGAAAACCACTAGAAAGAATTGAAAGGACAGAACTTAACAGCCATCATCTCCGAGGAGGGGAGAACCCCCCGGGACTGGGAAGGAAGGGAGCACACTCAGATGCTCGCCTGTGCGCACCTACATCACGGAATCTTCCAAGAGACCGGGACCTCACGTAACTGACCTAATTAAAAATCAAGCTAAAGTTATGCCACTTCCTCTAAAACGCAATAAAATCAGAAATTAAAAACAAAAAGATTTAAAAACATTTCTTTCTACCTAGAAACTATCAAAAACTCTTTTAAAAAATCCTGAGTCAAAGAGGAAACCACCATTAAAAGAATTACAGACAGGAACAAGATCCCTAGTTGTCAAAAATCAATGGGATGTCGACAAAACTGCTCACAATAGAATTCATAGCTTTAAATGCCTTTAATTAGAAAGACTGAAAATGTGAATGAATTAAGTATTCATTTCAGGAAGACTGAAAAAGTAAACCAAGAGACACAAGAGAACTAAATTAAAAGAAAAAGCAATCAATTACAATCCTCTGTCCCCCTCCCCTCCCCAAAAACCTGCACAGTAAAACTGACAAAATCAAAAGTATGTTGTCTGAGACTATAGTAAAACAGACTGAACATCTTGCAAACTGCACAGTGAAGTATTAATTCAACAGGTCTAGGATGTCCAGATCTAGCACATTCCAAAGACAGGTTTGGCCCTGGCCCAGCTCCTGAAAGGTAACTGCTAAGCCTTTGCAAATTACCCTGCCCGGTAAGCGTATCTTTGCCTACCTGGGGCCTTGTGCCACACCAGACAGTTTATGCTAGAATGCGATTTAAGAGAGATCAGTTCAACCCCTGCAGGGGCTCAAGACTGAATAACTAAGGTCGGCCACACAGGCACTCCAGGCCTCCAGGGTCCCCAACAAAAACCCCGGGCACCAAGCCACGGGTGAGCTTCCCTGGTTGGCAATACTTCACGCTTGTCGTCACACACCACTGCTGGGAGAATTAATCGCTGTCCTTAAGACTCTGACGGGAGAGGACACTGAGAACCCGCACCCAGTCTCTCCCGGCTTCTCCCTAAGCGCCTTTCACCTTGCTGAGTGTAACAGCTTTTCTGAGTTCTGTAAGTCCTTCTAGCAAATCACTGAACCTGAAGGTGGTCTTGGGGACTCCTGAACACATAAATATAATCAAGAAACAATGAGAGTACACAAATATCTGATATTCGGAAGGAGAAAGATGTTACCACTTGACATAGATCTGAATTAAATAAGAAATACTTAGAACTATACACCAAAAACTTAAAGATATAGATAAATTGGATACCTGAATGAGAAATATAACTCAACAAGAATGAAGCCAGAAGAGTTAGAAACCAGAATGGATCAATAACTATCAGGGAAATTGAAAAGAGTGTTTTAAAAAAATCCACCCCTCAAAAGTCACTGGTCCCAAATACTTTTATGGATGGAAACATATTTCCAGTTATTAAACTGCTAATTAAAAATATTCCTGGGCATAGAAAGGGGCTCACCCTACAAGGGTGGCCTAAAGCTGATACCGAAATCTGATAGTACTGTGCATGTATGAGGGTGTGCGGCACGTGCGCGCACGCGTACACACACACACACACACACACACACACACACTCCTGCAGGCCAATCTCACCTATGAATACAGAGGCAAAAATTCTAGAGAAAATATTGGTAATCAGAACCCAGCAATGTTTTGAGAGAAAATATTATAATCAAGCAGTTTATTCCAAGACACACAGCTTGAATCAAATGTAGGAAACCCACACTGTAGTCATTTATACAGTCATGCACCACACATCTCAGTCAATGACAGACCCTAAGACCAGTGGTCCCATGAGATTATAGGAGCTAAAAAATTCCCATTGCCTAGGTTGTAGCAGTCACAGCACACGTTTCTCACATGTCTGTGGTGATGCTGGTGTCAACAAGCTACTGTGCTGCCAGTCAGATAAAATTCCAGCACATGCAATACGCACAGTACGTAATACAGTGGACCCTTTGAACTTCACAGGTCCACTTACACATGGAATTTTGCTAACCAAACTCAGATCAAAAATACAGCATTCGTGGGATGTGAAACCCAAGTATATGGAAGGCCTAATTTTTGCAGACATGGGTTCCACAGGGCCAAATGTGGGCCTTGAACATGCGTGCATTTTGGTATATTTGGGGGTCTTGGAACCAATCCCCCAAGTATACTGAGGGATGACTGTACTTGATGATAATAAACAACTGTGTTACTGGTTTATATGTTTACTATACTATACTTTTTACCATTACTTTAGACTGTATTCCTTCTATTTATTTAAAAAAAAAAATGCAGCTGGGAGCAGTGGCACATGTCTGTAATCCCAGCACTTTGGGAGGCTGACGGGAGGATCACTTGAGGCCAGGAGTTTGACACCAGCCTGAGCAACACAGCAAGATCCTGTCTCTACAAAAAATACAAAAATTAGCTGGGCATGGTGGTACGCACCCGTATTCTTAGCTACTCGGGAGGCTGAGACAGGAGGATCGCATGAGCCCAGGCATTTGAGGCTGTAGAGAGCTGTGATGACACCACTGCACTCTACCCCAGGCAACAGAGTGAGATCCTGTCTCAAAAAAAAAAGGTAACTGTGAAACAGCCTCAGCAGGTCCTTGAGGGGCATCCCTGTTACTGCCCCTGAGCACCTCCCAAGCAGGACAAGACATGGAGGCAGAAGACAGTGATTTTGATGACCTTGACCCTGTGTAGCTCTAGCTAGTGTATGTGTTTGTGTCTTAGTTTTTTAACAAAAGTTTAAAAAGTAAAAAATAAATTTAAAAGTTTTTAAACAGATAAAAACTTATAGAATAAGGATATAAAGAAAAAATATTTTATATAGCTATACAATATATTTGTGTTGAATGACTATATTAATAGGTTAAAAATAAAAAGACCCTATATTTATCTCGATATATACTGAAAAGACATCTAATGAGATTACACATCCATTCCTCATCAAACTATACAGGGGGAAAAATTCCTTAACTTGAAAAAGAATATTTATTAGAAACTCAAGTAGTTACCATATTTAAAGATGAAAACACCACAGGCACTCCTACTAAAACTGGAAGCAGGCAGGAAATGTACTTCTTGGAATATTCATTACTGCCCTCTATTGTTCGTACTTAATAAACATTTGATAATTCAACTTTATTTGCATTCGTTTAGTCAAAAAATTTAACTCACCTCTCTAATTCTCTTGATTTGAATGTAATTTAACCGTCCCCAGTCAAGTTCATCCTTTAAATACATAAAAGCGTAATATTCAATATTAAGGTAATAAACTGGAGTTTAATTTGGCTACTGTAATGCATGTTTCATCTAAAAACGTAATGATGAATTTAAGACACTGAGCTGTTAAACAGTGCACTCAAGCTGTCCTTGTCCAGGAGCATCCAGTTTTGCACTGACGGCATAAACGGAAGACCTCAACCACAAACGTTACACAGGAACCCTTCTTATGAGTTCATCTGTCTCAAAAATTACACACACCTTGATTATCTTGGGAACAGACTGCATACCAACAAGAAAAATAATACAGCTGCGTCTAAAAGGCAGCTTTAAAGGGTAACTCGTATACTTACTGGTAGAGACATATCTAGGCACGGCAAATCTAAACACACAGACCTACAGTCATTTGAATCTAGTTGTTGAGGAGAACAGAAACTGACCAAAAGGAGAATAAAATGGAGGCTAACAGGGCAAGTTTCTTTGAAGCCCATTATGTAAAAATTAGCTGAAAACAGTAAAAGCAAAGTTTACAAGGCTCTTAATTTTGAACCAACATACCCCGCCCAATACCCACGGGCAGCCATCCCCAACCTTTTTGGCACCAGGGACTGGTTTCATGGAAGACAATTTTTCCACAGACCTTGGGAGCGTGGGGACGGGGTGGCGCAGCAGAGCTTTGTGGCCAGGGTTTGGGAACCGCGGGCCCCAGGTATGCAACACACACAGCCAGAGAGGCTACCAACACCTCAGAAAGATCAACACAACACGAAGATGTGAAGCAAGCACCGCCAGCCCCCCAAGCCTGGAGCTGCCCCCTCCCTGCCCAGGGGTGACAGACGCCAAAGGACCAGGCCACTGAGATCACGGCCTGCCACCCTACGGACAGCCTCTGGCGCTGGGACTGTCATGTTCATGCAGAAATCAAGCCAAGACAGTCCTCTATCACTCACAGCCATCTACAAGGAAACCAGGAATTGGCGACCAACCTTTGGATGCCGCAGCTCTCCTCTCTGCCTGCAAGCCTGCCACGTCTGGAATAAAGGATCCAGAGTTTCAAAATAATGTATTAGCCAAATCCACTTCCAACACATTGTGACCACAGAAAATTTACAAATTTAATTCTTTCAATCAACTTCATAAAACTGGACTCCCACCACAATCCACTACCTCCAGCAGTCTGTTTATTTAATGTTGGACACCAGCAACCCTAACAACACTTTCACAAGAGAAAGTGTTTCTTTCTACTTCACGGCCTATGGTATGAAAATGTGTTACGCTAACAACCTGTGGTAGCTGCTTTCGTAGGTGACACAACAGAAAACTTACTTTAAATGCCTCAACCAGTGCAATACAGTCACTCTTATTATTGCCAGAGAAACTCACTTTGCTCCTAAAACAGATAACAAAAAGTGTCATCCAATGCCATTGAAACAAAGTGGCACTTCAAATATGAATGTTAAATACCTGTATCCATCAAGATGCTGCCGAAAAGGCATCGCAAAAAAATTCTTCAAAGAAAGAGCTGCCGCTAACAACAGAAAAACCATAGAGAATGTAAGATTGTTAGAGTGGCACTGCATAAACCTTTATTAGCAATTATTCGTTCCCACACTTACCTATAATAAGACATTCATCTAGACATCCAAATACATGTCCAAGGACTATGAGTTTACCAAGGTGCTGGTTAACAGGAAGCTGGGCCAAAACTCTTCCTAAGAAGGTCAATTCACCGTCGTGGGGGTTCTCCTCTTCTCTCTGCCCGCTGACCGCAAGTGCGCCAACCTTTATAAAATACATGAGTGCCATTAGCAAGCAGTGACTCATTTACACTTTTTCCTTAAGGCAGAGAGTCCAAAACAAGAAATAAAGACCAAATTTTGGTGAATAAGGCTCTAAAAGACATCTAAAGTCAACTTAGGAAAGGGTGATGCTACCAAAAAAAATTGTTTTTAATTTGCTCTTGAAACTTAAAACACATTTCACTATTTTTTAAAAAGGATACTTCCACAAAAGTCTACTTAACTCACAATTTAAGAAATATGGCATGCACAGTATTAAATGAAGAATCCCAACAACCATATCATGGTGGCCACTCACAACAAAAACTTACTAAGCTATGTATAGAAAAAAAAAAATTCCTTAACTTGACACAGTGTATTTCATAGAAACCCAAGCAGGTATCATATATTCCCAGGTAAAACGCCAGAGGCATCCTCAACTTCAAGGGTCAGAAGCAGAATGTCCACAGCTTCTGTCCACAGAAAATACTATTTACATGTAGACCAAGATACATCTAAGTGCACCAAGGCCATGGCTTGGTGGGTGGGAGGAGAGGAGAGAGCAGAGGTGGTGAGTTCCACCAAGACGACTGACAAACCCGCTCTAACAGCACGCACAGAACCTGCAATCAACCACCACTCAGCACGCAGGCATTTTCCAAGCACATGCTGATCACTTACAACAGTCGAAATACCTGACAAACGGCCACATTATGAAACTTAGGTTTTTCCAGCACTAACAAACCTCGGCAGTCCTACCTCCTTGAGCAGAAGGATCGTGCGCTCGATGTCACTCAGACGAGGAGGAGAAAGGGCAGTTGCCAGCAAAGCTCGTGGTTCTCCCATGTCTAGTAATTTCACTTTCAAGATCGTGCTTCCCAATGGACAGCGCTGAAAAAAACAAAACAAACTTAGAAATAATAACTAAGTCAATTAGTCTATTCACATGACTACTGCTTGACAGAGAGAGAGGAGGAGGAGAGAAAAAAGAGAAGAAAAACAGGATCAAGAAAGAGAGGAGAAGAGACAGGAGACAGGAGAGAGAAGAAAAGAGGAGGAGAAGGAGAAAGAGACGATGATGGGGAGAGAAAGAGGAGGAAAAAAGGAAAGGAAGGAAAAGAGGGCAAGAAAGTGGGAGAAAGAAGAGAAAGGAGGAGAGAAGAGAGAGAGAGAGAAAGAAAAAAAGTAGATTCCATAATTATTAATTATAAAAGGAAACAGAAAACAGCAGCGTTTAAGGACACTCCTATCACAGGACGGATGCCAGGCAGCATTCCTGTTGTCAAGAATGTAGAACGCGAGTGAGGCCCCCAGTCAGCAGCCTGAGGCTTGCTCACGGGTACGCGGTCCTGTGACTGAAGAGTATGGTCAGCAATGACTTTCTGGAATCAAAATTGTACAACACTCAAAAGTATGTTACTTACACGGGTCAGTAAAACTTTATATAAAAAATTAACTTCGACAATGACCAAAGCGAATTACCAACATCTCCGGAACAACACGATCAGGGATGGAGTTGTCCCAGAAATCCTTGTGGATCAGTCTGTAACAGTATCCTCTAGACAATCGTCCAGCACGGCCTTCAGGGAGAGATGTGCAAACACCGCTGGGCATTAATTACTTTAACATCAGCATGAAGATATGTTTAAGAACAGCCATTAAATATTAATTAAGAAAAACCTTAATTATCTTCTACCAGACCAGGTCAGGTAAAACTTTAGAATAAGCTAGTGAATTCTTAAGTTATTCTTATTCTAAATAAGAACAGCTATGGTAAAAAGTTAGAATAAGCTGGAGTAAGATCAAGTGCAGACTTCTCAGTGACCACTATTATCCAATCCAACGAATGCTTCTAAAGAAAGCCACCTTCGCCCACATGCTGCAGAAACCAAACATTTCAAGTAACACGCATTTTCTGCAAATGCACAGTCCATACTAGAAGGTCACGGGGTGGCGACAGGCCCTGCTAGGAGATCCAGGAGGCGTCAGGCGGCTGGGGCTTCCCTACTTTCCACCCCTGCGGTCCCAGCACTGCTGCAAAGCGCTCTCCAGCCCCAGGTGCTTTCCATTAAACCACTGAGGGATGAGGATGCAAAGGCTGGTCCTGTGGAGCCCGTGACGTACACTGTTTGCTCTTGTGAGTCTGTCACGTGTGGAGTAGCAACTCCTCCATCCTAACACATAATGAAGTCAACTAAGGAGAGAGAGTGGAGGGAGTACGGGAGGTATCCTTAATATTAACAAATACCCAGATTTAAAAGAAAAGGAGCCACCCAGGGAGCTTTCCTTCCCTGCCTCCAGGGTCAGGAAAGACTGAGGGGGGAGTCTGGACCTCTGCCCCTGCCCCCCACCTGCCTTCTCCTGGCAGCCCCCTCACTGCCAGGAGACTGCTGGGGGCCTGGACTTCCTCCTCCCCCACTGCCACCTCCACACACCTCATTTGCAAATGACAGGATGGTCTAAGAAAATCCCAAAGAAATCACAAAAACAAACAAAAAAAGCCCTCCCACAACTAATTGGTGAATTCAGCAACCACGCAGGATACAAAATCAACACACAAAAAGCAATCACATTTCTAGATACTATTAGGTTGTTAAGTATGGAATGTCTGATTTCCTTAAGTACTAAGTTTGACAGTTATATCTCTGACATTTCACTTTTGACACTTGTTTTTTGTTTTTTAATTGTGAAGGTATATCCTCATTCTTTCGAATGCACATTCTGGCTTGTGATTACCTTTCAAAATTTTTTTAGAGTAATTTTTGTGAAACCATGGATAAGTCAAAAATTACTGTTATTTTCTGAATTCCATCATGGAACCAATGCAGTGCAGACAGCTCAAAATAGCAATGAAATATTTGGGAAGGATGTGGCTAATGAACACACACAGTATGTCGATAGTTTGAGAAGTTCCATTCTGGTGATTTTAATCTTGAAAATGAGCCATGTGGGTGACCTGAGACCCAGGTGGATAATGATGAGTTAAAAGCTGTAGTGGAAGTGAATCCATCTCAACCTACATGCAAATTAGCAGCAAGGTTTGACATTACTATTCCAACAATACTGGACTATTTGAAACAAACTGGCAAGGTAAAGAAGCTGGATAGATGGGCTCCACATGAATCAAACCAGCATCAGAAGAGAAATCTTCTCAAAGCTTGCTGTCACAACATAAAGGCAAACCATTTCTATACTGTATTGTTACGTGTGATGAAAAATGGATTCTTTTTCACAATTGCAAGCGTTTGGCACAATGGCTGGATGATGATGAAGTGCCAAAACACAGTCCAAAACTGAATATTCATCAAAAAAAAAAAAAACTACTGGTATCTGTTAGGTGGTCCAGCGCTGGTATTATCCACTACAGCTTCATGATCCCTGGCCATTTGATTACAGCTATGTCTACTGCAACCAACTGGACAAAAGAATGAGGATGCTTGCAATTAAGCAGCCATGATTGGTCCACAGAGATAGGACAATCCTCTTGCAAGACCACATGTCACACAAACAACGCTGTTCAAACTACAGAGGCTGGACTTAGAAACTCTCCATCATCCACTATATTCACCAGACCTTGCCCCAACTGACTACCACTTCTTCCAGGCTTTGGACCACTTCTCGCAAGAAAAAATATTCAATTCTCAACAAGCTGTGGAAAATGCCTTTCACAATTTCATCACCACTCACTCTCCAGGCTTCGTCACTGCTGGCATAAGCAAGCTACCGTCAAGAGGGCAAAACTGTGTGGACAGTTTAGGTGCATACTTTAACTGTACTGCTTCTTGTTTGAGATATAATAAACTACACGTTTGATTTAAATCGGACATTTCATATTTAATGACCTAATAGTAAATGAATGCGTGGAAACTAAAACTTAAAATGCCATTTACAATCACTCCAAATCAAATGAAATACTTAGGTGTAAATCTATAATAACACAGTATGTACAGGATCTGAACACTGAAAATTACACAGTACTGATGAAAGAAACTAAAGATGGACTAAAGAAATAGAAACATATGCCGTGTCCAGGGACTGGAAGACTCAACACGGGAAATATGTCAATTTTCCACAAATTGATCTGTAAGTCCTATCAAAATTATAAGAAATTTTGAGACACAGACAAGCTTATTCTAGGATCTATATGGAAAAGCAAAGGACTTAGAATAGTTCAAATATTTTCTTTGAAAATGAAGAATAAAGTAGGAGGAATCGCTCTATTTGATGCTAAGACGATTTCACACGGCAATCAGCAGAGTGTGGTGCTGGTGCAGGGAAAGATACACGTCAACGGAACAAAATCAAGAACCCAGACGTAGACCCACACAGGTACACTCAACTCGCTTCTCACAAAAGTGCAAATGCAATTTATACTGTAAATTTTTTTAAATTTTCTGTATAGTATGATGCTTTGTTATCTTTAAAAACCTTTCTGGCTGGGGTGTGACTGCCCCTCCCAGGGCTAGCCACTTCTTAGAGTAAAGGGCCCAGGCAGGAGCATGTCTGTGAGACGAAAACTATTAATAACTGATGCAGAGCCCCAACTCCTCCATCTGGACTGTGCACCAGGGGGCAACCTTCCTGCCTGGATCATCCCAGGGCCAGGTGCCAGGCAACCAGGGATCATCCCAATAGTCCACAGTCCACCAAAGTTATTCAAACTAGACAATCCTGAACTATTCACCTTGCCCTGCCTTGGAAACCCAATAAAGGCCATGGCCTAAACCCTTCCTTCCCTTCTGCCTCCTGCCCATAATGGCATCTTTCCCATGTGGCCCTGTATGGTGGTTTGTGACTCCTCTCTCTACCTGTAGGACAAACTTTGTTTTCCTGAGTCTCTCCTGGGTCTTCTCTTATGGACACACATGACTGACCATCTCCTAAGAGAACACAAAGTACAAGGCAACGGAAGGAGGATTCAGTGGTACTGGAGCCATAAGATATCCACAGGCAAAGAAACAAGCCTCAACCTAAACCTCACACCTTATACAAAAACTGACTCAAAATAGAAATTAATTCAAAATGAATCATGCACATAAATGTAAAACCATGAAACTTTCAGAAGAAAAAACAAAAGCAAGGCCAGGTACGGTGGCTCGAGCCTGTAATCTCAGCACTTTGGGAGGCTGAGGCAGGAGGATCACTCAAGCCCAGGAGTTCGAGGCTACAGTGAGCTATGATCCCACCACTGCACTCAGCCTGGGCAGCAGAGCAAGACCCTGTCAGAGGGGAGAGGAGGGGAAGGGGAAAGAAAGAAAGAAAGAAAAGAAAAAGGAAAAGAAAACACAAGAGTAAACTCTTCGGACCTAGGGCTACATACAGAGTTCTTGTACATGACACCAAAAGCATGAACCACAAAAGAAAAAACAGTAAAATTAGATCTCATCAAAATTTAAAGCTCTTTCTCTACAAAAGTCCCTGGTAGGAAGATTAAAAAACAAACTACAGACTGGGAGAAAATATTTGCAACCACAAGTCTAACAAAGGACTGGTATCAATTATATCAGGAGCTCTCAAAACTCAACAGTAAAAATACAAGCAACTCAATTAATTCAACTGACATAAACAGACATTTCAATCAAAAGATAGAGATGGCAAATAAACACAGAAAAAGACATTTAACCTCATTAGCCATTAACGAAATGCAAATTAAAATCACATCCGTTAGAATGGCTAAGATAAAAAACAGTGGTCATACTAAATGCTGGCAAGGATGTGGGAAAAATGGCTCTCATACACTGCTGGTGGGAATGTAAAATGGTGCGGCTGCCACGCAAACAGTTTGGGACAGTTCCTTATAAAACTAAACGTACTCACCATATGATCCAGCAATTGCAATCCTGGGCATTTATCCCAGAGAAATGAAAACTTATGGCCACACAAAAATCCGTACATGAATATTCATAGCTGCTTTATTCTTAATAACCAAGAACTGGAAAAACGTCAAATGTCCTTCAACAGGTGAATGTACAATGGAATCCTACTCGGTTAAAAACAAAACAAAGGAATGAACTACCAATACAAAAGCACCTTGGATGACTCCTAAAGACATTATGATGAGTGAAAAAAAGCCAATCTCAAAAGGCTACACACTGCATGATTCCATTTAAGCAACACCTGGAAATGATGCTACAGGGTCAGGAGCAGGGTCGGCGGTGGCAGGGAGAGTGGCAGGGCAGGTGCAACTGAGAGAGGGCAGCCCCTGAGCAGCGGTGGGACACTTCCGTATTCTGATCATAGTGGTGGTTACACAAACCTGCACACGGGGTCAAACTGCAGAGAGCCCACCCCAACACACACACCCACTCATGGACAGAGCAAAACTGTGAAACTAAACAAGGCATATGATTTAACAGTAATGCACAATGTCAGCTTCCTGGTGTTGATACTGTACTACACTTAGATGTCCCAACAGGAGAAGCTGGGAGAAGGATTCACAGGATTCAATGTACTATATTTTTGCAACTTCCTGTAAGGGAAAAATTTTGTAATAAACTTCTAAGTACAGAAGTTTTGAACATACAAAAAGGTACCCAAAGGACAAAACACCTATAATCCCGAAGTGCTGAGACTAAAGGCATGAGCTACCGTGCCCAGGCTATGACCCTACTTTAATGGCTACTTAGTCATGCTCTCACACCCCCTCTCCAGGAAGTCATTTCAGGAGAGGTGCTACAGCAAAGTGGTTAGGAATGTAGACTGAAGCCACATTTCTGGGTTCAAGTCTCAGCACCACCACTTCATAGTATGACCTTGAGCAAGTTGCTATCTCTCCGCATCTTAGTTGCTTCGTTAAGAGACGGGAATAATTGGTGCACGCCTGCAGCCCCAGTACTTTGGGAAGCTGAGGCAAGAGGATCCCTTGAGGCCAGGAGTTCGAGGCTGCAGTGAGCTATGACAACGTCACTGCGCTCCAGCCTGGGCAACAGAGCGAGACCCTGTCTCAAAAAAAAAAGAGAGAGAGAAAGAGACAAAGAGATGTGAATATTAATAAATGCACTATGTACTTACCTCACAGGGTTGTTCTGAGGGTTAAATGAGCAAATAAAATTCTTAGAATAGTGTCTAGCATGTGGTAATCATTCAGTAAGTGTTGCCTTTATTATTTTTTTGATACAGTAGTTTTATTACCCAATGGGTATTCTTGGAAGGGCTTTCCACCCCTCCTGAGAAGGTTCTCTAATAAAAAAACAAGCCAGTTCTCAGTCCACACCAAGTATGCTATCCCCGCCCCCCGAAGCTAGTTCCCACCACAGGTGATCTTAACTTGTCCCAGGTGTGCCACGAATACACCTCCACTGTGGCCAAAGCAGCCCAGCCCCAACACTGACTGCACACTTTCGTCTCTGCCCAGTGATACGTGTGGAAGACGCAGCAGACTCTGAACCCTCTGTGGAACCAATTTCCGAAAAATAACTCTGGAAAGATCAAAAATTGGAGAGGAATCACAGGAAGTTTATCAAAAACTAACAAGTGATCCACTTGGCTTCCATGACTACTCACCAAAAAGTTTTAAATTTCGCTGTGAAAAAATGGTAGTGTTGAGATAAAGGGGGTTTACCCACCATGTACAAAGACCTAAGGCGCCGGAAGAGAGCAGAAGCGTGGTTAAGCGGATACTCTGACAGTAGGAGATGCTATTGCTTAAAACAACAGAGGAAGTGTCTGAGTAAAGGGAAAAGCAAAACAGAGTTTACAAAGACACCTGACTGTGCCGCCGCCTGACCCCGATGCACTACTGTGCTCGGACGCAAACGTCTTACCTTTTCTCTGGTTACAACTGGTTTTAGAGGCCCAACTCAATCGCAGACTCTGATAATTTGTGTCTTCATCACAAACCAGTGTTCTAGTCAAACAAAAATCTATAACTGCCATTTGAAAAAAAGGAATGTAAACACCATGCTAACAAGACGTCAGCGTATAATACATCACAATGCATAGTGATAAAACAGTATGAAGCACACAGTCTCAGGAAGTAGTGGACACGCAGAAACACCAGCAACGTGCTGGCCACTCCTCACTGCTCAGGACAGGAGGATCACCATCACACGCTATCTCGCCAAGGACTGGGAGTCTCCGGGTGTGAAGAATGCATAACCTGTGAGACCTAATGTGTCATAAGAGGGGCCTGCCTGGACTGCACCCTAAAGAATGACATTACGACAGCAGTTCAGAAGAATGGCTCATGCACTGGACTGCCAGGTTTCAAATCCTGCATCTGTGTCTGTGTGTGTGCATGTCTGTGTAACTGCATGTCTCTGTGTGTGCATGTCTGTGTGTCCCTGTGTCTGTGTCGGTGGAAAGTGGGCAGCTGTATACACTGCTGAGTCTCCCTGCACATCAGTGTCCCCATCTGTAAAACACAGGTGACAGAGCCCTGCAGCTCTTCCGGTGCATCTACAGGAAGGAGCTGTCCTCTCTCCCCAACCCTCCCGTGCTGAGTCTGAAGGGGCAGCAGGTGTCCTGTGTCCTCACTGTGGCCTCCCTCCTCAGGCTACCCCTTGATGCCCCCGCCCCAGTCCCTGGCCCCCCAGTCCTCTCGCACTCTCCAATACCACCCTCGCCATGGTTTGGGCGATTTCAGTACCCACTAAAACACTGCTGGCCGCATCTAGCCTCTAGCCCTTGAACCCCTCCCCTCCAACCATCTTGTCTCCACCCTAGTTGAGTGATTGTTTCCTACTGTGCACCCTTGGCTCTGTCACTCTGCAATGCAACCCCTCCTAGATCACAGTCTGAAACATCTGTCCCTGGAACCAGAACTCCTGCCTTTCCTCCCCCTGCTCTCGGAAGCCTACCCCACCAACCCTCATCCCACAGGGGACCTGCACCCGTCCATCTCATACCTGCTGCCCCTCCTGACACCTGACCTCAAGTCCATGAGCCACCAGCGCAGTCAGCCTCGCGTAGCCCTGGGATCTCCGCGTCCTCCTCACTCTGTTCTACTGGCTAATTCCCTCACAGCGCTGGCTAAGCACAACTCTGCACCTACACCGTGCAGCTAACACGCACACGCTGGGGAGGGAAGAGCAAAAGCAGGCCAGCGCTCAGGTGGCCCCCTTAATTCCTGGTCACCGCACACTTCTCATGCTTTCCCCCTAGGTGGCCGAAGAGGCAGCGGCAAGAGCAGGATCTCCTCCAGCTCCTGGCCCACACTCCTTGCGTGCCTGCCTCATCCTCAGGCACTCGGCCTTCTCTGCGATGGCAGGTGTGCCAATCACCCTCCCCTGCACCCTTCCCCTCCCCCAGCGAGATCGCTGGCAGGTCTCCCACCGCCCCGCCCCCCACTCTTTGCCTCCCGCACAGGAGAACGTCTCCGGAGCATCACCTGACCCCACTGGTGCTCGGTTCACCTCCTACGGTTCTTTCTTGAGCCCATCCCAAGCAGATTTTTGCCTCCACAAAAACTGCTCTTGTCAAGGTCACTGATGATGGCCACGTTGCTAATTCCCATGGCCAGTCTTTAGACTGGCTCTTAACTTGACCCGTCATCAGCATTTGACATGCTCTTCCTCTCCCCCCACCTCAAAACCCTTCCCTCCTTGGTTTCTGGCTTCCACACTGACTGATTTTCTTCCCGCTTCCCGGGCTGCCCCTCTGCAGCACCTCTCCTGTCTCCCACCTCTAAACCCCAGGGCCGCCTTCCCTCTGTGCGCCTCCTAGAGAGCTCTGCCAGGCTCCTGGCCTCAAACACCGCCATCACTGACCACCCAGCCGCTCCTCTGCCCTGTCTCCAGGCTCGCACAGCTGACTGCTTCTGCGACATCCACCTGAGCATGTAGCAGGTATCCCAGACCAAACCCAAGCTCTTCACCTCCCCGCCCCGCCCCTTCCAGCCTTTGTCCTCTCAGGGGAGAATCCATTCTCTCAGCTCCTCAGGCCACAGGTCTTGAGAGTCACCCTTGATGTCCTTCACAATCCTTGTGTGAAATCCACCAGCAAAGCCCCACGAGCTCTGCCTTCAAAATCCACCCAGAGTCTGCCCGCTGCTATCCTAGTCCAAATGCCACCGATTCTCACCCAGGTTACCATGACATCCTCCTAATTCACCTCCCTTTTCTCGCCTTTGCCTCCTTTTAGTCTATGCCCAGAGAGATCTGTAAAATGAACTTTAGGTATGTCATTCCTAGTCCCAAAGCTCACCAACAGTCCTCCATTTCACTCAGGAAAGCCAAGACCTTGTCCTGCCCTGTTAGGCCACACACAATCTGGGACCCCAACCGTCCTGAAGCCTCTCCTCCAACTGCTCTCTCCTTTGCTCTCGCTGGTCCAGCTCTCCAGACCGCCCTGCTGTTTTGTGACTGCGCCAGGCATGCTCTTGCCTCCTCTTCCTCCCCCCAGAACACTCTCCCTGGATGCCCAGGTGGCTCGCCCTAACCTCCTCCCGGACAGGATTTCAATGCCACCCTCTGGGAGCGGCTTCCCTGCCACTCCACCTTTCCCAATACTCCCTACCCCGCACTCCCCTGCTTTTTCTTCTTATACTCAGCATCATTTAACTTACTACATATTTTTATTTACCTTATTTATTGTTTACCTTTCCAATACCTGCCCCTGAATGTGTCACGGGAATAAAGACTTCTGTCTGTTTTGCTTACTGTTATTTCTCTGGCACGGACACAAAACACCTGCCAACAATCTTCTGCCCTGGTCTATCTGTTCCAGCCACACTGGCCTTCTTGTGGCTTTGCTATCCTGTTCCCTGTGCCCAAGCCACATTTTTGCATGGCCCGATCCTCATTCACCTGAGGTCTTTGTTCAAATGTCACTTCCTCAAGGAGGTATCCCCACATCACTCTATCGAAAAGATCACTTTCCAATAACCATAAATCCTTTCCCTGATTTGTTCTCCTATGTAATATTTCTCTCCACCTGAAATTATACACACGTTTTTACCTGCTAATCCCTGGTTTCTCCTACCAGAGCAGTCGCATGAGGACTGAGGCTGTGTCTTACCCACCACTGTACTCCTAGCACTGAGAATAGGGCCTGGCACATGCACTGGATTTTCAACTATCAATGAATGGATTCAGAACACTCGTTAGTGAAGCAATCTCTCAAAGTAATCGAGGGCACACAGGTAGAAGACCGGATGCCCACGTGGCTTGCTCTGGAGCTGGCACGGCATCCTTCTGAGCTACCTTCAGGAACAGAAACTGCCTGGGCTCCTTCCCCAGCACGTGCCTGCCCCAGTCACAGAACTTTACCTGGGCAGCCCAAAGCTCTGTTTCCCACAGGCCCATTGAAAAGCCCCCAAACACTTCCTGAGAGCAGCCTTGTCCCAAAGCATGAAATGAAATGCTGAACTGAAAGGGTGGGAGAAATTATGTGAAACTACTTTTCTAAATTCTCTCTTCCAAAATCAGAAGAGATAGGGAGGAAGAGGAGGAATAATTCCTGACGGGGCAGAGAACCCTATCATGCAGCACTACAGTTCATGTCAGGAGGCAAAACATAAGCATCTTACCATACTTGACATCTGGCACTGTGACGGAACTCTCCGCAATGTTGGTGGACAGAATGATCTGTCAAACATCAAAGAAAAGAGGATGATATTCTTACTATATTCTGGACATCATTAAGCAAAGTTTAAAAAAAAAAACAATTCTTAGGCTCAAAAATTATTTAAGAGCTTCTTAATGTAAATTCTGAACTCAAAGTTTGAAATTAGCTATTTTTCTATTTTATACAGGTCACAATTGATCAAGCTGCCCCTGATGTAAGGAAAACCAGCCACACACAACACAGCGGTGCTTAAAAGCAAGTAAGCAAGACACAAGGCAAAGAGCCGCTTCTGACCTCTGACATGGGGGCTTTGGAGGGAGTCCCAGAATTACCCGAGGGCAAAAACGCAGAACCAGGTTAAAATTCAGAAGAAGGACTACTAGTTGCCCTGGAATACCATCCAAGGTCTAGGCTGCCCTAGAGATCCAAACAGTCCATGGAAATCAAGGGAGCTGTCAAGGCCAGGGTCCCCAGTCATCTCAAGCAACTCTAAAAGGGTCATATGAGAACAATTCCATCATGCACACATAACCTGAAATTACAGAAACCCTCCTAAACCCAGACTAAGAACACGGCTTATTACCAAAGTCACCAAAGTAGTAGCACAGACAGCAGAACAGTTAGAAAGTTTAAGAAATAGCAAAAAATAATTCAAAGGCATCGAAATCTCTGAACTGAGGAAATAAAAAACATTAGCTTTTGAGCAAACTGATTTACAAAATAACACACAAAATTAAATAACATACCTGGCTCATCAGGTGAGTGTCTAAGTGACAACCCACCAGCCACGGAACACACCACAGAAACAAGCTAACATGTTAACACTTTTCATTAGTAGAGTCTCTAAGGAAAATTTACGTAAAGTGCTTAGAACTTGTCTTCCAAGCTTTCCTACCTTTCTGTACCCAGGGACTGGACTTAAAAATACATTATTCTGTTCTTCTAAAGTCACACTTGAATGGAGTGGATAGACCTGTAATCTAAGAAATTACTAAAATAAAATATCCATAAAGAATAGGTATGCATGAGATACAAAAACAACTATGCGTTGAGATAATTAAAATTATTTAAGGCAGAAACAGTGCAATGGTTTAAAAGTGAAAATACAGCTATATCATTTTAAACATACCTTTTGTGAACCATATTTGTGAGAAGTTCATGCATATAGTTTATTTCACCCAGACCTAGGGAAGAAAAAAAGTAGAGGGGTAAATAAACAGATTTGTATTTACTGCTAAAAACCAACCATTAAATTAAAGTCACTACATCTTTTTCAAAGAAGGCCCTACCAATTCATTTTATTTGATTTTTTTATCCTCTTCACCTAAGTGTATCAGAATCACAAGTAAAAATGCACAATGACATTAATTAGTAGTAACTCAGAAATACGGGGGAAAAATATTCTTCCATTTTCCTTTCCACAGCAGTGACTCACTAGAGTTGCTGGCTGTATGAGTAGTTTTATATGCTCCCCCCTCAGGTTTTTCAAATTTCCTACAATGATCATGCAAAACCTTTACAATCAAAACATAATATGTGTAAAGTTTTGGTCACAAAGATGTGCTAACTTTTTTAATTAGGCTTAAATAATGTTTGCTAACATATAAGGCCTGCATGGGCTTTTGCCTCAGCCTGAATTATCAGTATTTAAGTTTGCTATGGGTTGAATCCTGTCCCCCCAAAAGATAAGTTGAAGTCCTAACTAACCCCAGTGACTAAGAATGGGACCTTATTTGGAAAGAGTTATTACAGATGTGATAAGATGATGTCATACTACAGGAGGGTGGGCCCTTAAACCAAAATGACTGGTGTCCTTCCAAGAAGAAAGGGAGAGACACAGGCAGACACAGAGAATGCCACATGACAAGAGAGACAGAGAGAGCAGTGACACAGCCATAAGTCAAGGAATGCCAAGGACTGATGGTCAACACCAGAAGCTAGGAAGAGGCCAGGAAGGATTCTAACCAGAATCTCAAAAAGAACATGGCCCTGGGGACACCTTGATTCTGGACCGTGAGAGAATAAACTACTGTTGTTTTAAGCCACCCAGTTTGTGGCACTTTGTTACAGCAGCCCCAGAAAACCAATAAAGAACTGTTCACAAAACATCAATTAATAAAATACATAAATACATACCAAACTTGAATTCACATAAACATATTTTTTAAAAAGACAATAGCCTAAGTGTAAAATACTCCTTATAAATATTTCCTTCAGGCAATGTTTTGCAGTTAAAAAGTACTTCATTTTGGTATTCTTTTTTGTTAATTTTCTTTCAGAATATTACTGGGGTACAAACATTTTGGTTACATAAATTGCTTTTGTACTGTTTGAGTCAGTTATAATGTGCCCATCACCCAGACAGTGTGCACTGTACCCATTAGGGGTGAATTTACCCATCCCCTCCTCCCCCCTCCCACCTGCTTGATTTCCCATGAGTGTTATTTCCATACGTGCATGTAAGTGTTCATCGATTAGTTCCTCCATTTTCGCATTCTTAAGCTAGTATCAATGTGGCTTTGCTTTGGTGATTTTTTTCCTTAATATTATACACACAGTAGTCATTTGATAAATACTTATTAGGCAAATGTAACGCCACCCAACTGTCACCTAATGGTTGTTTCCTGTATATAAAATGAATCCACACCAGTCTAAGCAAAAGTGATGAAAGTCTGAAACTTACATGCTGCATTCTAAAATTAAATGAGCCACTTTCATTGCATGCTTTTTGTTCTCCACCACTATAAGCACAAATACTTTTATGCTCTATATACTACCTTGCAACACAAAATATTTGAACTTTTGTTATGATGTTTCATTCAAGCTATAGTACTTGTTAAAATAAATCAATTAAATCATTTCAAAAAAGTACAATTTAACACAAATCCATCTTATCAGAGAGGTATTTTAAGAGCCTATTTTCTCAACACTGAGAAAGGAACTGGAAGACTTCCCTGATGATTCTCATGGTATTATAATATTAACAATAATATGTTTTATTATTATTATATTAAATAAGCTTTCAAGGCAGATTGAGGACAATTACCTCACATTTATAACCATATACATGAAATGCAAATTTAACAAAGCCAAATATTTTACTGGAAATTTTGAAGGTGGCAAGACTGCCTCCAAAAAGTAGAATTCTTCACTATCAATAAAAAATCTTTTACCAATACAAGGGTTATAAGAAGTCAAATCAAAAGCCACATTTGTTCACATTCTCAATGTTTAAAAAGAATAAGCACATGTGCCAAATACCATTTTTCATAATATGTGCTAGGCACAAACTTAGCCTCTATCCAGTGTATTATAATTCCAGGTCACAAAACGATGACATTCACACCTGGCAAAAACACCAACACACTGCTTCGCTCCGATACAAACTGGGCACCTGACCAAGTCTTGTTCCTGTTAAAAACATGATGTGCACAAATATTTAATCAAGGCTGTGATAGTTATTGCTTTCTAGAATCC